TTATACACTTCCGGGTATATCCCAGTGAATGGGTGGCTGGGTCAAATGGTATTCTAGTTCCTAGATCCTTGAGGATCGCCATACTGTTTTCCACAATGGTTGAACTAGTTTACAGTCCCCCAACAGTGAAAAGTGTTCCTATTCTCCTCCACATCCTCTCCAGCACTTTGTTCCTGACTTTTTTTTTTTTTTTTTTTGAGGCAGTCTCACTATCCGCCCAGGTTGGAGTGCCGTGGCCGATCTCAGCTCACTGCAAGCCTCCGCCTCCTGGTTCACGCCATTTCTCGGCCTCAGCCTCCAGAGGCTGGACTACAGGCCGCCCGCACCTCGCCCGGCTAGTTTTTGTATTTTTAGTAGAGACGGGGTTGCACCATGTTAGCGGGATGGTCTCGATCTCCTGACTCCGTGATCCTCGCCGTCTCGGCCCTCCCAAAAGTGCCTGGGATTACAGGCTTGACCACCGCGCCGCCCGTTTCCTGACTTTTACATGATTGCCATTCTAACTGCGGTGAGATGGTATCTCATTGGTTTGATTTGCATTTTCCTGATGGCCAGTGATGATGAGCATTTTTCACGTGTCTGTTGCTGTATGAATGTCTCTCTTTGAGAAGCCGTCTGTTGTCCTTTGTAGAGACATGGATGCAGCTGGAAACCATCATTCTCAGCAAACTATCGCAAGAACAGAAAACCAAATACTGCATGTTCTCACTCATAGGTGGGAACTTGACAATGAGATCACTTGGACACAGGAAGGAGAACATCACACACCAGGTCCTATTGTTGGGAGGGGGCAGAGGAGAGGGATAACATTAGGAGATATACCTAATGTAAATGACGAGTTAATGGGTGCAGCACACCAACATGGCACATGTATATATAGGTAACAAACCTGCACATTGTGCATATGTACCCTAGAACTTAAGGTATAATAATAAAAACAAGAAAAGAGGAAAAAAAAAAAAAAAAGCTCCCAAAGGCTGCTAGGCAATGCCACGTGTTTCTGTGGGGCTGAGGGGAAATATCCAGTCAGCAACATCTGGAACAGAGCAGAACTGACAGTGAAAATAGGAGACAGAGAAGACAGGGCCTGGCTGCTGTACATGGAAGAGGAAGCCTCAGCTGTTGAGAGATGCAAAGCATGAAAAACAAAACACAAAAAACAAAAATGGTGGGAGACGGAGTTAACATCAAAGGAAGAAAGGGCACAAGGAAACAGTGCATCTAAAGCTACAGGTGTGATTACCTCTGTGCCTTGGACTTCAAGGCCAGGAAAGTTGCACGCTGACCTCACAAGAGACACTATCTTTTTGACCAGCAGCTTGCCCTCCGCAATCTGCTGTCTCAGGGCACTGTAGTCATCAATGTGGCCAATGACATGGCGGCCATGCTTATTGGCAAAGGAGCCATCAGTAGCATCACCCTCCAGCTTGGGAGGGGTCTTCATTATTGGAGAGGTATCCAAACCCAAGCCTGGAAAAGAAAATAACAACACAACAGAATCTTCTGTTATTCATAATGATCTCCTAGGTTTGCTCCAACTCAAAAGAGGTAGGGAACAAGAAAAGGAAGAGGCTGGGAACAAGAAAGGAAGCCTTGGAATGTACAAGGGTGGGGCAAAGTCCATAGAGATCTTCTGGCTTCTATATTTCTCTAATGTTTCTTACATTATCTCTTAATGATAAATTTGCCTGGGGACAATTTTTTCCTTATTGGCAAATGAAATAGGACAAATCATAATAAATAATAAGTTTCTGGGTAGAGAAGACACAGACAGGGAAATCAAGCTGGATACAGAGAACATTTTCAAGAATGGAGAGATTATGGTGCAATGAAGCATAAACAGCAGTAGGTAAACTACAGGAGGATGAACAATGGCAAGAAAGGCAGCCATAGAAGGTGCAGTGAGTAGGGCTAAAGGCCTCGGGGCATGTAGAGAAAACTCTGTAAATACAGATAATATGTTTAGAGACAACAAAAGGTTGTTTGCATTAATCACTTTCCATCATCAGTCCCTGGGCCCTTTAGTTGCCATATTTACCATTTGTTCTGTGGATTATGGCCGTTTCTGAGCCAGGAGTAGAGGAAGCAGAGCTGGGGAGGACCAGAGCTGGGGAATTCATCGCAACATCCCGGACTGGAGGGGACACAGCTGAATCTAGGGGGTAAAGGCAACCACAGTTTTCAGGAGCCCTGGAACACCCTGCTCGTGAAGCACATGCACACCTAGCTGTCCCCACTGAGGCCTAAGGTGGCAGGACTCTCCTCTTACAGAATTATCCATACCCCACAAGCAAAAGCAAAAGCCAAAGCCCATGAGTCGGTGAGTTCAGAATGTTTCCATTCTTCAGAACAAAAGATATTCCTTTGACTGAGGGGTGTTCCATGAGAAAGAAACCTCTAGTTTGAAAAATTATTAGGTGTATTTTTATAAACCGAGTCTTGAGTATAATTTGTGTGTGGTATCTAATACGATGCCCTGTAACTAAATGTAATATGTATAAACATACATAGTACATATTAAAATGTAGAATCAAAGAACCAAGGAATGAATGGATTCATGGAGGACTAAAATCAACATTGTAGTCGTTATTCTGATGAATTAATACTAAAAAAAATTGACTTGTATGAGAAGAACGGAGACAGAAGGCTTGGTGGGTTAACGTTGTCTTGCTGGAGACTAAAAAGCAACTCTATGGTGGAGGAATTGGAAAATATCACAAAGAAGGTAGAAAAGGTCCCGCTCAGGCAAGTGTGGCCCAGTGCCTGCTTTCCAGCTCAGGCCTCGGGGGTGCTGGAGAAAGCAGGGCAGGGACGGCGCCAGTGGGGCTGAGTCTTGGCTGCTGTATGGGAAGCCAGTGAAAGGGGAAGGCCTGGTTAGAAGGAAGAGATGGAGACATAACTGAACACCACAACCATCAGGGCAGCCCAGAGGAGGGCAAGGCAGCCACCTAACGTTAGCTGAGAAGTTCCTGGCGGCCAGGCGGTTTGCTTGGCAGCCTACATGTGTTTTTTTAATTGAATTGCCAAAACAGCATAATCATGTTATTGTCACCTTCCTTTGACAAATAAGGTTACTGTCACATAAATGAGCATCTACAAGAACCAGAGAAACATAAAGATTCACATGACCCAGAAATAGCTGGCATATGCCAGGAGAGTTTGAAAGCTCAGCTTTAGAGAAACTGAACAGAAGTGGCTCCTGATTTGAATGAAATTGAAGGTGTGGCCATGGAGGTGAGTGGAGATGGTGTACTAAATAGTGTATTAAAAGGAAAAGAGGACAGAGGAAGTAGAAATTGAACGATTTAAGAGACTAGGGGGACACCATTGACATTTCAATGAAAACTGGGAGAAGTGAGATTGATGGGGGTTGTTGAGAAGAGAAGGGGGACCTGGTCAAACACACCTATCTGAAAAGGCAGGCAAGGGGTAGGGTAGAGAAAGCCACCCGAAATAAATCACCCACCATCCAGTGATTGAATGGCCACCCGAAATAAATCACCCACCATCCAGGACTTCCCCAGAGCCCTGTTTCCTTAGGGGCAGGAACATTTTGCCACACACTGAGTTCCCCACCTGTGAGGGAAAGGGGGACTAGAGAATCTGGGAAGGTCGGCAATACGGAGACAGGGCACCATGAGCTGGAAGGAACACAGACTGAAAATCACAACACCTGGTTCTGATCCTGGCTTTGTCTATAACTTCTGTAAACCCTCGCTTGTCTGTTAATATCTCAAGACCTAAGTTTTCTTATGTGAAATACAGAGATAGCAAAACCTGCTTTACTTCAGATGAAATTGTATATATGAAAACACTTGGCTAATACTAAAGCACTAAGCAAATCCAAGAAAACGATACGAACATATACACAGCTGCTAATTACTGAGTAATTCTTAGTTGCCAATCACTTGTAAATGATTTCATTTAATGCTCAAAATCATATAAGGTATATATCATTATTATCTTCATCTTAAATATGAGGAAACTAAGGCTTAAACCTCTGAGACTTTAAACATCTTGCCCAAATCAAACGATCTCTGAGTGGTAAACTCAGAACCTGGAGCCTGGTCTGACCTAAATCCCATGCTTTCACTCAGGCTGCTAGACTTGAACATCTCTGATTTCAACCTGACCCCAAGGAGCATGGACCAGGCAGATTGCACCTTCTGCCACAGACATCCTGGTGATCTCCCCACTGGCCGAGGGCTTTCTAAGTCCCTTTTCCTTCCTACCTTGGAGGAGCAGCTGCTTGTTTCCAGGGTCAACGCTGGCTGGGAAGTTCTGGTTAACAGAGGAGGGGCTGAGGCTGCCTTTGCCAGCACCACTATCCAGCTGCTGTTGCAGTTGCAGTCGCAGACAATTGTTCCCCTGAATGCTCTGCTCCAGCTGCCCTCTCAGAGCTTGTACCTCTGCCACCAGGTGGCTCAGGTCACTGCTCAAAGGGATTTGGTGACAGGCATCCAGGCTGTAAGCTAAGAGAGAAGAGGAGTCTGGTAACATTGACCCAAGTATTTCCAAGCACTTGTCAGAACCCTCCTCTGTGACATTCTTTTCTGCCAAGGATCCCACTATCATCTGAGTCTCATGCAACCCATCTATGATAGAGATGTCACCATTTCTGTGTATGGCCTGGGGATGGCACTGAGATGGCACACATCCAGTCTGAAACTTCCCTGCGGTTTAAGTTACACACATGCACCTAAACAGCATTTGACTGACAGATGAGGATAATTGAGCTAGAGAAGGATAGGGGATGAGGGAGAAAGAGATTTGACAGTCTTCACTCTCAAAAATGAAAGAAGAGAAGGAGGTCTTTTGGTAGCGTGTGAGAATGTGAGTTGGGCACCTTAGACCAGGGATTATAACTGAGTTTTTCAATTTCTCTCTCTCTCTCTCTCTATATATATATGTGTATGTGTGTGTGTATGTATGTGTACATATATATGCCTATAGTGTGTATATATGTTGTGTGTGTATATACATACGATATAGGTGTGTATATATACATATATACATGTACATATATGTACACACATATATACACATATATATACACACATATATAAAAAATATATATGTATATTTACCTCCATCCATTCTTTGTACTGGGGATGAAGAGATCTAAGAAATAGTCTACAAGGCCACAATCCCTTATCTGAAAACCTTAATGCCAAATATATTTTGAAAGGTAAAATTTGTTTTAGTTTTTAGCAAGGCAACAGGGTGCATATATCATATATAAAATGTACCCAGTTGCATGTGAGCCACAATCCTTAATCAAACATATAACTATTTCTGCAATCAGCTATGTGAATATTCTAAGTAGATAAATACTTAGGAATATCCTCTTGTCAGTTCATCTAGATTTTGTCACTAAATGAGTATTTGAAAAATTTAATTTGGAGATCTTACTGGATTTTGAAATTACAGAGAAGAGATCATGGAGCTTTAGTGGTTGCAGCTTTGAAATGAGTCCTAAAAGGCAGGGAGAAAAGCATGAAAGGCAAGGTAGCTCAGGATGAAGTAGTTTTAGAACTTTGGTAAATAATCTACTCTTGAATTTTGCCCAGAGTTTTATGATGTTCCTCTCTCTCTTCCTCAATCCAACTTCTCACTAAATTTTGCTAAAGAGATGTTTTTAAATCTATCTATACCCTTTCGTCTTCCCAATAGCACCTTATATTAGACTGTCATGTCTTCATGTGCCAGAATAGCGCTAGACTCATCCAGTAGGTTTCCCAGATTCTAGTGTCTCCCAACTCCAGGACATCCCCTGAGACTCAGCATCTTAAAGTTCTGTTTTCATCATATGCTTATCTTCTTTGAAAGAGAACAGACTTAGTTTAATTATCTACTATACAGAATGTCGACTTTCACACTGACCTGTGGGCTTTCAAGATTTGGGGACTCTGTTCCTCCATCCTGACTTCTCACGCCCCCAACCCGAAGCTTTCCTGTGGGCAGGCTGGTCCCACTGACCCAGCACTCACCATGACTTTGTACTTAAGCTATTCTCCCAGCCTGGTGAGCCCCCTGTATTTCTTCAAGTTCCAGTTCACCTTCTCGTTAGAAAATCAGGAAACTAAATCAGGATTTATGATAATTCCAATCTAAATTCCACTGCCCTTCACCCTTTGTCTAGCCCTCTGAAGGGACATAAAATATACATGAGTTTTTTTCACCCGACAGTTCTTCAAATACCCGAAGCCAGTTCTCATGTCCTCAAGATCTTTTGAAAGCCTAAATTTCTTTAGTTTCTTTGACCAGTTGGAGATTTCTGGTCCACACCATTGTGCACCCTGTTTTCATTATGTTCCCTAGTGTGTCAATGCCCTTTTCAAAGATGGTGCCCCTTAATCTAACAATATTTTAGACATGGTCCCCACAGGTGAACATCACACTTACACTACCATAGTGTCAGATTGAGCTGGTATATCTAGCAACCTTTGGCCTGTACTTGTGTGAACATGTTTCTACCAAACCCCAAACCCTCAAGTCCATGAACGGCTGCCTGTCCTATATTTCTACCCTCATCCTGTATTTCTATCACTGATATTTGTAATCGAGCTCAGGATTTTGCTTTTTATCTTTGCTAAATTTCATGACATTGATGTCAGTCCTCTGTTCAGCCTGCTGTGACTTATTATGTTTCAAGTACCCTTCTCCATTTAAAAAAGAATGAAGAAATATATCAAAATTCTGAAATATTAGATTATTATTTCAGCAGGCAGCAAAGTCTTCAATAAATGTCCTTATTATTTAAGTCCAGGAGTGAAATTTAGGTCCTATTAGTGGTATTTCTATAAGGTTTTTTTGTTTTCGTGTCTCTTAATTTTTTCCTGTGGGCAGGCTGGTCCCCACTGACTCAACACTCACCACGACTTTGTACTTAAGCTATTCACCCAGCCTGGTAAGCCGCTGTATTTCTTCACATTCCAGTTCACCTTCTCTTTAGAAAATCAGGAAACTAAATCAGGACTTATGAAAATTAAATGAAATAAACTGAGAGCCAGATGTCACTACGGAAAGGGTAATGGTGGGAGCAGACTGCCTGCTGCATTGGGCTGAATGGGTTGTCAGTATGTATTACCGACAATATTAAAGGCCTTTTCAAATGATGATATCATTAGGACAGTTCTTTTGCTTTAAAAATGTTATAATCTAGACATTGATAGGAATGTCTAGATTTTCTTACAGTAATTAGGAATGATCAGGCTGGATCTTGCTCATGCCACCAACCTGTCCCCTTGAGCTTTGTGTATGAGAGTTCCTACTGGGAGCCCCAGGCTCGGGTGGGGGTTTCTGAGACAGAACTCTGTCACTTCCCATGATCTCCACAACTCCCAAGGGAAAGACCTCACTAGCATGCTATGTGAGGGCAAAAAGCTCATGGGGTGAGAGGAGAAGAACACATACCTTTCAGCCCCTTCTTGGAATTGCCATAAAGTGCTTCGTAGATTTGTAGCTCTGACTGGAGGGACTCAAAGAGCTGCTGTTTCTCTTCACACTGTTGCTGCAGAAGGACCAGCTTGTGCTGCAGTCTGACCAGGGAGAGGCAAGGCCCACTGAGATGGCAGAGCCACTCAGCCACACCAGAGCAATAAGCTGAGAGCCAGATGTCAACTCAGGGGGTCATAAAGATTACGGTTAGGGTTACATCTGAGCCCCAGATATCAACTCAGGGAGTCATGAAGACCATCACTTTTATTTTGCAGATGTGGAAATGGAGGCTAAGGGAGGTCAAGTAACTTTGCTTGAAAACACACCATTACCTACATTAGTTCAGAGCAGAACAGACACACCAGCAGTCTCCTTACTGCTCCTACAGTGCTCTTTGCATTCTGACAAGCAGTTACAGGGCTTATGCTGGGACCAAGCATCACAGCCAGTATAGAAGCTTCCTAGGTGATGGTGAGACTAATGTCCTACATCTAACTGAAAGCATGGAAACCCTTCTTTTTCATGTCTCTGATATATTGAAAACTTCTATAACAGAGTTTTACTCTCTCAACTTGGGAGTGACAAGGCATTCCCAGAGAAGTCCTTTCTTCTGCTTAAAGCACCTCACCCCCCTACTGGCACAGAAAAATCAGGAATAGCAGAGGGAACATTGAGGTTTCCAAAAGAGGACACCAATTGTCTTGCCAATATCCCGTCTTCTAATGTAAGAATGAACGTAAGAATGAAGAATGCTTCCTTCTCTGTCAGTGGGTCCCCTCTTACCTGGAGTCGTTTTCCTGGAGGGAAAGACGTTCCTCCCTGAAATGCAAGACCTCTTGCTGCTTCTCCCTTAAGTCTTCCAAAAGCTGCTGCCTTTCCACCTTCTGGTGCTCCAGCTCCTTTTCCAGCTCTTGAAGGTGGGATCGAGAGGACAGCAGAGCCTCCCTCAGGCTTTCCGTTTCCTGGGAGTGCTCTGGTGAGAGGAACACAGGAGGATTGATTTATTATGATGGGGGTAGAGCTCAGCAGAAAGATAACCCCAAGCACATACACCCTGAAACAAAGCTAAGGAGCAGGAAAGGAAGGCCCTATGTTGGTTGGGAAGAGCATGCTGACTCAACATATCCTGCAGCCTGGAGAATGGTGCATTTCTCTCTTTGTAAAACCCTTCATTCCACTTATTTAATCTGTCCTACCTTGCTCTTAGAGAAATTCTGGTTTCTAATGCTCACCATTTTCCAGGTGCTCACACAGCATCTGTTCAATAATCCATTCTTGAATTTTGACAAAGATCAACATCAAGATTTCTTTTTGGAATATATCATTTTCATTATTTTGAAAACTGGGATATTTGTTCTTTTTTGGAACTTGCAGCAGTTCTCTGATTTTCACAAGTTGTCAAAGATTATTGAAGGGACTCTGAAAATACAGCTGCAGGTTCAGTAATCCTCTGGGGAAAGATTCACCTAAGCCTGGCGAATTGTACTCGTTTAAATCTCTTACTGTCTTCTCACCTGTGAGGTCTGTTCTATTCTCTCCAAGCATGCAATGGTAGCTTAGTAGTTCTGACTTCTTTCTTATCTGTTAACTTTTGTTATCATCCCCCAGCAGTGACCTTTCCTCTTAACTCTTCTTGCTAATATAGAAATCAATTAATTAAATTAATTAATTAAGGTGGCTAATTTAGAAATATCTCTTGGTGGCTTTTTCCTTTTCCACAAACATTCCTTCGTTCTGGGCTTAATCCTTTTGGACACTACTCTTAGTCTTTTTATGGCTGTTCAATATGTTATTAATAATACATTGATCTGATCAAGTAGACTAACACCAAGGTCAGCAGCCTCCCAGCCACATGAGAAATGATGCCCACCTGTGAGCGCCCCCTGGCTAGGGCTGGGAAAGTGCTGGAGGGAATTTGCTAGTGCCACTCGGCACGGAGTCATAGGAGTACTGACCGGAGAGGAGCCCTGAGTGTATGAGTGAGGGATGTGGTGAGGAGGCAGAGGCATGGCAGAGCAGGGCCAGGAGGGACACACACTGCTGCAGTAAAGTCTGGAGAAGCTTGAGAGGGAAGATAGGCATTCGCACTCCCTCCTTTATTGGTTCCAAATCAGTTGTGAGTGAAGGGAGGTAGAACAGATACCAGACTGGTATCCAGATTGATAGCTCGTGACTCTGGATATATGCAGGTGGGCTTGTGCAGAAATGATGGATTTCCTAGAGCTCTTTGCTCCTGGGGACTAGGATTCTGAGGGGCCCATAGTTGGAACATCTTAGAAAGCAGCCTTCTCTAGACTGAGAAGAGCTGTAAGTTTGGGTTGGTGGATCTGAGCAGCTCTGTTACCTTACCTTCTTCTGTTTGCTTCTCCAGTTGGTGATTAGTGTGGCCAGGGAAGAAAGAAACTTAATAGTGACCACAGTTTGTGGGTTTTGACCACGTACCTCTGGAAACATGACTCAGTTGAGCCTGAAGTCTTCGATTTTCTTCCCTGAGGACTCTGTTCTCATTGCAGAGCTGAGGTATGGACTCCAGGCCCTGACTGCAGAAGTTAGAGGTGGATCCTGTCCCAGAAAGTACACATTCGGGTAACGGAAGCTTCCAAAAGTTTCCCATTCTTTATCTCTCAAAGATACTGCCCCAACCCAGCAGAAAACCCCAAGGACTCAAGGCCTGGCCCTGAATGAAGCATGGGGGGCTGGATACATGTTTTCTGTGTGCCTCTTCTCAGTGGATTCTTTGCATGCATCATCACATGCCATAACTGCAATGGTGCAGGAGGCTCAATCTCCCTAAATAGCTGCTGCTGTGGTATAGGCCAGACAACAACATATGGAAAGACTGGCCTCCATGTGACAGCAGCTCGGAAGAAGAGTGTAAGGAGAAAGGCAACCTTGGTAAAGCAGCCAGGGGGGGAGTTGGGAGGACCCTTACAGACCTGGCTCTACCACTTGTCAATCACACAACAAAGGCACAGACATCAGCAGACAGTACCTAAGCAGATTAAGGATGGGGTGAGAAGTCAGGTGACTCTGGGCACCAGACCTAGTTCTGCCTTAAAGAGAGTTACTCTCTAAACTCAGATATATTCAGAAAGTAGGGATGACAGTACTTGCCCACTTCCCTTGCTGGACTGTTCGTAAGGAGCAAGTGAAGTAAAGAATATCTGTGAAGCTCTGCCTAAAGGTCCCTAAATAGAGCCAGAAACAGGAAGATCTGGACCTCTCCTACCACTTCCACGAGCAGCAGAGCTCAGCCGGTGTTCCAGTTGCTCCCGTAGGCGGTCATTGATGCAGATGGACTCCTCCAGGCGCTGGCGCAGGTTCCGGATTTCACCAAGATGCTCTTCCAGCAGGTCAGCCCCTGCAGCCAAACCACCAGGACATGGAGAGAGGTGGGAGATGGAGAATCCTGGTTACTGATGGGGGTGGGGCTCAGCCACGGGTCTTGCAGAAAGACACGTAAATATCACTAGCCTTCTGCCAACTGTGTCCTCTCACATGGACACCCAAAGGAACGGTAGTTTTGTTTAAAGAGTAAATGTGCTTTCAAACACATAACAGTCACTTGCTAAAAAATCTCCATGGGCCTCCTCCCACACAGGGGTCTTGTGAGAGTTCCACATGTTTTAGAAAAATAACTGAGGGCTCTGGACAAGGCCTGTCTAGCATCTGGAAAGGTATGGCCACCTCCTGGGTGTGACTATGAGGATGATAGGTGAGCCCTCACTCTACCTTTCTTCTTACTGACACATGACAAACATTCTTTAGCAAGGGACAAAGCCCTTCCTCCCACCCTTAGAAAGAAGGCCTAAAGTAAAAGTATGCGATCTTACAGTCACCCTATGTGGTTAATGACTGACACTGAATGTGTCCCTGAAATCGCTTTTAATATGGAAGATGAAAGAATAGCCTGGAAGGATCTAGAGATCTGAAGGCAAATTAGAGAGGGGACGACACCCCCTCTCCCCCCACCAAACAAAGGAAAAAGATGCAGAAAAGTCAGAGGGATGCTTACACCAGACATTAACTGCACCATTTTGCTTTGGGCTCAGTCTTTTCCCGAAAATTACGATTGTCTTACTGTTGGAACTGAGTGGCATCCTAGCATTTATGAACTTAGCTATACCTCTCCACTTGCTGTGACTGAGTTTTGTGCACAGGATATATGTGCAGGGTCGGGGAGCTGCACCCTTGCACCCTTTCCTGTGACAAGTCCTGACTGATGGAAGAAAGTCCCGTCTATGCCTGGCATTCTGGAGGGGTCTAAGAGAGTGGGCTGCAAAGAGGCCAGGCTGCAGGAAGACGGAAGGACATGAGTATGAGAGCACAAGAGGTGGGTCCCTGACTTTCCCATATCCCTACAGAGCACTGAGGCCCTGGGCAGGAGAATAAAGAAATGTACTTGGAAAGGACTGAGCCCTGATACAGCTCTTGCATTTTATACCCACTCTGTGAGCCAGGGATGGAGGAGGAATCAAAGACCTGCCTGAGTAGGAAAAGAGTAGACTCCGAATGAAACTTCTTTTCAAAGGCTGCCGTCTCCACTTTGTGCTTTACCTGTGGGTTTGGAGTTAAGCTGGTACACAGAGGAGCCTGAGGATAGGTCCCCAGATACACTCCCTTTCTGAGGCCTCATCATGTCCCACTGGCCACTGCTGCCCAGGTACCCAGGCTCCAGGATTCTTCCCAGTTCTATGGTGCCTCTTGGAGGAGAGTGAGGCTGGGCAGAGTTGAGGTAGTGGGAAGAGCCGGCTTCCAAGTCGTTGCTCGGCAATGTAGCTGTGGAAGCAGGAGGAACGGTGCTGGCACCTGGGCAGAAAGAAACACGAGTAAGAAGCAAATGCAGTGTCAGAAGGGAAGGATTTGCACGGAAGTGTGTGATTGCTAAGAATAGAGACTAAAAGGAGACCCGTGGAATGTCAGAGATCCCAGTTCACTGTGGTATACTAATTAGACTAAGGCTCGTAACCTAGAGGTTGTAACTCTCACCCTTTGTATTTCCTGGCAGCAGACACAAGAGGTAGAGAATAAAGTATCTTAAAGTCATCAGTATACACAATGGAAAAGTCCAGTGGCCCCACTCCTGGCTCCTACTATAATCCTTCATGACAGACTCCAAGGAAAGTTCTAAAAGTAGGATTCACTCCCACAGTTAGAAGTTGTGAGAGCAGTGGCATACAGGATTGAGCTTACCTGTGAACACGAACATTTGTCTGTCTACATGTACTTGCCTTCCCCTGAAACTAACCAGTCAATATGTCAGTTCCACCTTAGAGTTTTTCAGATGAGAAAGGGGACATGAAGTCAAGCTGGATATGGTGTCCCTAGTTCCTCCAGACTGAAGAACTCTTTGCTGAGGCTGGGGAAGGGTCTCTGTAAGGCAAGTATTCATTTGGATCCCATCCAACATATCTCAAGGAGCTGCAAAATGTCATGACTCCTGTCTAAAGAATCATTGAATACTATTCCACAGAGGCAGGTAGGACCTTTCATTTCACAGGCTGATATTTTCATAGACCCTTTGAAATCATAGGCCTTTCTCTTGAGCCCCGTCATCTCCAGTTCTCTGTAAAAAGAAGCCCAGCATAGGGGAGATAGGGAAAGAGGTGGGCAGAGACACAGTTTAGGAGAAAATTCAGAAGCCTGCTTTCTTTCAGGGATTATGAACATGGGCAGCAGAATAGACAGGTAGCTGCTCCTAAGCAAGTGAGGTCATTGTCCCTTCCAACCAAGCCAAACTCCTCGGAGGGGTTAGTGTAATTGCCACTTGCCAGTTTTTAGCACCACTTGTAGCTAGTTCTCAAATTTGGGTACATATTGGAATCACCTGAGAAAATATGGAAACATACTGATTCCTGGATTCCAGAGATTTTGCCTTAATCAATATGGGATACATCTTGAACAATGGATGTTTTAAATTCATTCTAGGTGATTCTAATAGGCAGAAGTTTGAGAATTGTTGTCAAGAGTCTCTCTTTCAACTTGCAAAATACTAGATGTTCATTAGGATCACTTAGTTAAGGAAGAAGATTAAAAATTTAAGCACCTACATTTTAGAAGAGATGCAACAAATACATGATTTCCTACCTCTTTCAAACTGCCTTCAACCCCATCCGAACACAAGGCAAAGGGGGAAATCAGTGGTTGTAGACAGTCAGCTTACTTTTTAATCAAGGCCATGTGAGGTTTTAAGTCTATCAGTAACAGTGATCAGTATTCTCATGTTCCAGTCCCTTGGCCACACAATACACAGTACATGCTCTAAACCATGCAAAGATACCATATAGACTCTTGCACAAGATTTTAACCCAGGGACCTGAGAGGCCACCATGCACCACTGTCCACATGGAAACTTGGCTCAAAGCAAACGATGAGCTTGGATAAGCAATGGTCCCTTGGAGAGGACCTTGACTTCAGGTGGAGAAAGGGCTACAATCTTCCTCATCTAGGCAGGGACCATTCGAACTCCGGTCAATGGCCTCAGACTTGATGTAATTCTAATTTAACCCCAAACAACAGACCCTACCCTTTTTCATGGACAGTGCTCTCCTTCCATCCTTCCCTTTGGGCAAAGACAAATGGACAAATGTGGAAAGATAAAGGAAAAGGAGGCAAGGGGAAGAAATGGAAGCTAGAAAATACTCTTGCCGTTTGTCATGGGGCACATTTGTTGCCCATCCATTGCTGGAGCCAGAACTGGTAAAGTAACAAGTTTTAGGTTAGAAACACCAGCATCTCCTACTGGTCTCTAAAGAGAGGGAAAAAATTATTGCAAGGAGTCCCCGGAGTTTGATCAGTTGAGCTCAGCCCCATACTCTAAGCAGGATGGTGACAAAGCCATCCTAAGTAGAAAAGATATAACAGAAACATGAAACCTGGAGCAGAAGACCAGATTCACGCCCATTTCTCCCACTTACTAGTGACCTTGAATAAGTAACTTCACTTTCCTGAGCTTTAGAGTTCCCTGCACTGGACAAAATATCCATTTCCTGGGTTGACAAAATAAATAGGCTACGCCAGGTGCAGTGGCTCATGCCTGTAATCCCAGCACTTTCAGAAACCTAGGTGGGCCAATCACTTGAGCTCAGGAGCTCTAGACCAGTCTTGGCAACATGGCGAAACCCTGTCTCTACAAAAAGTACAAAACTTAGCCAGGTGTGGTGACACACACCTGTAATCCCAGCTACTAGGGGGGCTGAGGTGGGAGAGTTGCTTGAGCCCAGCAGGTCAAGGCTGCAGTGAGCCGAGATCGTGCCACTGCACTTCAGTCTGGGTGACAAAGTGAGACCCTACCTCAAAAAAAAAAAAAAAAAAAGAGGAAGAAGGAAAGAAATAGGCTGGTCCACATGATGACATTTGGGGCTACAGGGAGGGGGATGCAAATTCTTGGCTGTTGTCTTGCGTCACTGGAAACTGCTGGCATGGTGACCCTATCAGTCTCTGGCTCACCTAAGCTTCTTTACAGGCACAGAAAGCGCCTGACAAATGAGTTTAAGTTCATTCAAACTGCTCTCTACCTGTTGTGCTTAAGGTGCTATGAGAGAGCAAATTCATGTGAAGGTTTATCATTTTTTTCTAAGCTATCAGTGACCACCAGCAGACTAAATTTATGATGAGCATCCAGCCTACAAGTATATCCAAGTGTTTTCTAAAAGGTGACTGTCCACGGTCTACGTAACTACATAAGGTCAATTATCTTTGGGAGTCAGAGGATGGGATTCACAGTCAGATGCTATGGCTGGTGCTGTGGTTCTAAGCTGCCTACGTGTCACCTGTCCCAGCGCAGGGATGAACCCTGTGCAGTAGGAAAAGTGACTCATCATTTCCTCTTCTGAATCCCTCTACCATTACCCTTTTTGCTCCAACCTAATGATGTCAGGAACTGAACTTGATTAACAGCATTTCACAGCAGAAAAATCTAATAGCCACACAAAGGATCCCACTGAATGTGGCCATCTTTTTCTTGGCCACTTCATCCTGCATAGGCAAAGCATAACATCTCTCTCCCATCCCCTACCAGTGAGCAGTCCACCAGTCTGTCAGGGATTCGGCATACTTGGTGGTATCCAGCGGTGTCTACAGTGTGAGAGCACTAGCTCTAGAGCCTCGTGAACGTATCTACCTGTTAACTGACGAGACATACACACCAGAGAAATAACAGGAAATACATTTCCAAAAAATAAGCAAGCAGAGCTTTCCCTCAGTCTTCCATTTGTAACGTGTACCCGTGTTGCGTTTTTAAACTCTGCCATCCAGCCCGAGCCATGCAGAGCAACACAGTGTGGGGCTGCCATTCGCAAGCACACAAATGCAGAAGTGCTCACTTTCTCCCAACTGCTTCTGCAGCATCTGCAGCTCCTGCTGAGCCTCAGCCAAGGAGACCACCGGTGTCTCACAGCAGCCAAGGAGGGGAGGGCCAGTGGGGCTGAAAGGCAGGAAGCTGGATGGAGCTGAGGGCAATGGTGCCTGAGGAAGGCTAGCCAGCTTGGGTATGGAGTGAAAATGAAAGCCTGGGAACAGAAAGTTAGGGAGAAAAGAGACACATCATCAAGAGAAAATGAGAGAAAGAATGGGTAAAAGATTGAGAAGGTCAAACCATTCCCTGACCAGACATCACCCTGTGTAGTGGCTATTACCTTAGTGGTACAGGATAAGATAGCCAAGGGTACCATTGCTACCAGAGAGGCTGGCCTGGTTGACCTTCCCTCTTCTCCCCTGCCAGGGCTATCCTGCATACATCCTCTATGTTCATCTTGAAAGCAATTGGCTAAAGAAGGTAAGGTGGCATTATTGAGACCCACCCCAGCAATCCTGGGCATGGACAGGTCAGAGAGCCGGAATCCTCTCAAGGGCCCGCGGGGCTCTGCTCCCAGCATATATCAGTCCTTGGCCCTGGGACAAGACTCTTTCTCTACCTAGAACTCCTCTCTGATGGCACCAGGTCCCATCCTGAGTAGGAGAGACATGAACAAAGGCTGTGGGGGAAATTTTCATTACTAGTGCATGCAGTCCAGGACTCTGATGGAAACAAACTTCAGAATTCCAAATCAATGCATTCATTCACCAAATTAAAAATAGATGCCTTCGTAGAGTGGCTAAGACAAAATGGCCCGTAAACCCTTCTGGGCATTTAAATCACATAGCAAAAACTCTCAATATATGTAGATTCTTTAGGCCTTCTTGATTCTGTCTAGGCCTTAATGTAGACTTAGAGAATTATAAATTTTTGGAACAGAAAATTTGCATTAAAAAAAGTCTCCCCGGCCGGGCACGGTGGCTCACGCCTGTAATCCCAGCACACTGGGAGGCCGAGACGGGCGGATCACGAGGTCAGGAGATCGAGACCATCCTGGCTAACACGGTGAAACCCCGTATCTACTAAAAAAAAATACAAAAGACTAGCCGGGCGAGGTGGCGGGCGCCTGTAGTCCCAGCTACTCGGGAGGCTGAGGCAGGAGAATGGCGTGAACCCGGGAGGCGGAGCTTGCAGTGAGCCAAGATCGCATAATTGTCCCCCAGCCTGGGGGACAGAGCGAGACCCCATTTCAAAAAAAAAAAAAAAGTCTTCCCTGGTGATCTTTAGGCAGCCCATCTACAGATAGGTTTTTAGAAACCCTGGCAAGTTTCAATGTTTAAAATTGTTTCCTCTTCCCTAAAAGCAATTAAAGGGCAGGTACCCAATGGAGGGGGAGCAGAAACCAAGGCTGACCCATAGAGAATGTCAAATGTAGAAGACAATGATTACATCCTAAAACACATCCCAATGGTGCTGACACCATTTCAGATGAATACTGCAGATACACTCAAATTGCCAGGTAACACAGCCCAGGCATTCTTTGAGGAGGCATTCTGATTTTTAAATCCTCTCTTCTTCATCTTCTGCTCTGTTTGAACCCAAAACATTTAAGCAGATGTCTGCAATTCCGGAAGCACAGCTTTTCCTCATGATTCTTGTCCAGCTGCTGCCCACTCTGGCCTAGAAACTTTGAAACCAGGCTCAGGAAGCACTGGAACACTTCCTCTTCCTTAAGATTATGATTGAATTGCCTTCAGAGAAATGAGGGCAGCAGAAGAAAGCACTGTGCCTTCTGGGAGCATCTCTACTCAAGTCAAATTTCACAACAAACCACACTGAAGGCAGCCAGCCAGCTATGGTGGGAGGTAGGAGGTGAAGACAAGGTTTGCCTTTTCCTTGCCATCCCTGATACAGGGCTGTGAATGAGCAGCGTACCCTCCGGCAACTAAGTTGGACTTGTAAATGAAATGCACCCCTTTAACTGCCCCCAAGATATATACTATGTACATATCAAGGACTGCCAATCCATTCATACATCCATTAATGGTAACGTACCATGAACAGAACCTTGTCTGAGGCTGTTCTCAGCATCCTTGGCTATGAAATAAGTAGCACTACCTCTTGCAAGAGAACCACCATGCAGATTTAATGGGGAACACATACAGTGGATCAGGAGATGTGAATTTCTTTTCATCCTATGGCTGCTGTAATCCTGGGAGAAATATTTTGCCTCTTTGCTCCCAGGATAAAATGAGAGAAAACCAATAAAAATGTTTCTTTTTAAATGATTAGCCAACTGCTGGTCAAAGCTGGTACGCAGATCAAAACCTGATGTGGATTACTTATTTTCTAATATATTTTCTTAAATCAGACACAACTGGCGAATGAGGATGGTTTCTTGATTCTGTCTAGGTTTTGATGCATTTAGGCCCCTAACAGTCCAAACCTCTGTCCTTGAAGAAAAGTCAAACAGGCAGCAGAGAAAGAGGGGATGAGGCTTCTGCCCCACTGGCTGTTGCATACCTGAATGGGCCTGGTTGGCCTCCTTGGGGGGATTCTGGGGAGTTGGCAAGATGATGGGGTTGCTGCTGGATTCGGCCTTAACCCCCTGAGATGCACTGGTTGATGATGGTTTAGAAGATAACACAGCAGAATGACTCGAATGATGGATGGAATCTATAAAACCCATGAATGAAAGAAAATGTTTGATGTTCTACAGAGAACTGGAATCCTGGCCATATATTTACCCAGGGATACCAGGGCTAGAGTCTTGCTTTCAGGGAAAGAACCAAGCATAAGCACTGTTAGCAGTTGTTCATTTTCTTGCTTGCAGAGAGCTCCTATAGTGAGGCAAACCACCTTAGGGATGATAGTGGTGCTCTGAGCTCTGAAACATGAAAATGGCAACTCCAAAAATATCAGGCAAGACCAGCAGCATCTGTGGACACCCACATATACTTAGGGAACACTGCTCAGGAGTAAGTAGCAAGATCATTGCAGGAGAGATGAAGGAGGTTTTCCATCTTAAAGAAGATCTATCCGACAGAGTCACCGAAGAAGAGTCTGCCGTGATCTTCTCACTCTCCCCACAATGGCTCACATTGTGCCCAACAGCATGTACACGCCCATGGAGGCCAGGGTGACAGAGGTAACGTGTAGAGTCAGGAGCAGAGCAAAGATCCTGATCCACTGGTGCCTGTGCATGGCACTTGGCCCCACAGCCATGTTCAGCCTGATACACACCATGGTGGAGCTATAAGGCCTGTTTCCTGAGGTCTCCACTCAGCCTAGACAAAGACGGTACCACCCAGAAAGTGGAGGCTACCTGAGTGACCGGGAGAAGCTTTCTTCTCTTCATAGTGTGTGTACTCGCTGGCTATGTCCATGTCAGAGCAGGCTTCCAGCTCATCAGACAGGAAAGAGGTGCTGCTGGGAGAGCGGTGGGAGTCAGACAAGGCACGGCTGCTGGAGGGTGTGAGGGACCGAGCATCCAGCTTGGCCTGCAGGACTTCAATGACTTTCTCCTTCTCCTGCAGCTCCCTGCTGAGCCTGGTGGGGAGAAGGGGGACAACAGGTAAAACCAAGGTCACCCAAACCAACTTGTCCTGACTGTGGCTCATAGGAAAAGCCAAGTAAGCCAAGGGGACTATGCCTGCAGAGAATAATGGAAATCACCCACCTCTGCTTAGGGATGGAGTGTAGGTAGGGTGCAGATGGAGAGAGAATAGCTACCCAGTGCTCTGGCCACATAGTATGCTGAGGGCAAGCAAAGAGACAGCTAGCCCTCCTTTTAAGGCACTGCTGCTTAAAGTATGATCCCTGGAACAGTTGCAGCCTGCAAACTGTTTGTTACCATCTCCAATAAGACAAGTATAAAAATTGAAAGCAAGCATTGAGAAACGCAGAGCAAACCATTCTCCCAACATCCAAGAGCATGATAAGTGGAATCATGTAGTTAACTGAATTCAGACCATGTATGTTTCTATGATGGATTAGAAATAAAAACAAAACAAAACAAAAAACAACACTGTGTCCTTCGCTACAGGTATTTTCAGAAGCATTTATGAAGCCTGAGACACAATCATGACCCAAAGAACCCCAACTAGTGGCTACAACTGACTTTGAGTCGTATTTCATTGATCATTATATGAAGCAACTCACTGAGAACTGGGTCCTGAGGCACTGCAGCCTCCTGGTGATCTACACCATCTAGGCCTCTTTCACCAGGTCCTGTTATATGATTCCTTTCTTCCCCCAGGGCAATTGAGTGACTATTAAACTAGCTGTCAACCCAACTTGGGCCAGGCCAACTTTGGAAAAAGCTCATCCTACTTATTAAACACACAGCAGGAAAGCAGGACCCTTAGTGGGTCCTGCTTTTAGCTTGAAACCTAGTTAGTTCACTTTTAGCTCAGACTGTTTCTAGGTTACTAAGCCTGGACAATTATGTGCCAATGTAATTAAACCAAAAGAGAAGAAAGAATTTAGTTAAAAACAATAGTGAGGTGTTCAATGAATGCATGAATTCAATACATTCAGCACTTTCCTTTATTCCCCTTGATTTCTGGAGTTGCCGCCATCCTTGACCCTTTGGGCCTCAGTCCCAATCTCTTTACCAGATTCTCCTCTGAATTACCTGAGGGCCAGTGGCTCAAGTCCAGCTTGATCTTTCTCACTTTTATGATCCTCTGCAAACCAAATTTAGAAAGAAACAGTAAGAAATTAGGCTGGTCCCACTTCCCGCATTACAAACACAGGAGCCTATCTGGAGACAGAGTAGTGAGCATTTCATGCGTGTATCCAGAACAGTTATTCTGGGAGGCCTCAGCTTGGGTCTCTAGAGAAGTGACCCCACTGTCCCTGACCTGCCGGTCACCATGATGACTTCCTCTGCCCTAAATCGGGTAAAACATTTGTCTTTTGTTCAATTAATCATGAGGCCCTTGCCCAGTTGCCCTGTTGGACGCTCCAGCCTCCATGTCCTGTTGTAGACTAGCTCCCCAGTGCATATGTCCCACCACAGCTTTCATGCAGAACCTGCACAGGTCTCTGAGGAGATGGCAAGAAGCCCTGCCCCACCTCTGCACCTGCACCAGGAGGTGAGCTGGGTGGTTCCCAAGTCTGATCCTACTTTACTCCCTTGGATATTCTCTAGAAATTCTGAGTAGAGGACCCCAATAACAACCAATGTAGTCATTGAACTACTGCAGCCAGTGCCTAAACCATGTACAAAAGAGCCTGGTGCTTTATCCGTACGTGGAGTACCTGCATGTACATTACCATGCCATATGGAGACACCACAAGGAAAGAGCATTTAGCAAGTTTGTGGCAGCATCCAGGCTAGAGCTTGGGTCTTGTAATTCTTAGTTCAGGCCTCTTCCTCCTACAACAAGGCCCTTCCATCTCATGTACGCTACTCCCTCTTAGCACCAGATAGATGCTGCCCCTGCCCCACAGGTCACATTCTGTGAGTGGTGAAGTTTCTCTTGTTGTAACCATGGCATCTCCAGCCCTGTGTCTTCTTCTCCATGCTCCCCACTGAGCAGTCTTGATCCTGTATTAGCCCCAGGAAATGAAATACAAACAGGACCCTAAGTTAAAAAATTGCAGTGGAGATGTGGTGGCCACCAGGGGCTGGAACTGTGGGGGTGACTGAGAGTATTCCAAAGCCCTGTGGCCAACTTACTGGTGCTGAGTTTGCTGGTGAGCCTCTCTGTCAGCTGGCTTCCCTGGGCCAGTTGCTCCCGGAAGCTCTGTCCCAGGTAGTAGTCAATGTCATTGCTTCTTAGGAGATCCTCAAAAGATTTTACTGTATCTTTTGCATGCTGGGTGAGAAGATAACAAATACCTCTCCCTTCTCGTATTTTTTGCCGTAGGTAAGATAGTTCCCGGGCCTGATCCTGAATCAGGGAATCATATTTCCTAATGTAGGACAGAAGAGGAAGGAAAGAGTAAGTATGGAAAGAGTGGATGATAAGTTATGGGGCCTTCTGTAGAGAGTTCTATGAGAACATCTCTAAGGAACCACCAAGCTGAATTCCGGCACATAAGCCATAGGAGGTATTTAAGAGTAAATTCTACCGTGATAAAATGTTGCATCAAAAAGTTTAGTGTGGACCGGGCATGGTAGCTCATGCCTGTAATCCCAGCACTTTGAGAGGCCGAGGTGGGCAGATCACAAGGTGAGGAGTTCGAGACCAGCCTGGTCAATATGGTGAAAACCCCGCCTCTACTAAAAATACAGAAAAAATTAGCTGGGCATGGTGGTGCATGTCTGTAATCCCACCTACTCGGGAGGCTGAGGCAGGAGAATTGCTTGAACCTGGGAGGTGGAGGTTGTAGTCAGCCAAGATGGCGCTACTGCACTCCAGCCTGGGTGACAGAGTGAGACTCCGTAACAAAACAAACAAACATAAAGTTTAGTATGCCACTGTTCTTCAACTGTTATATATATGTTAATTATGTCCCTAGATAAATCATAAGGTTTGTGAAAATAAAGATAGTTCTGCATTTTATATTCCTTACAGCACCAGTATCACGCAGATTCACAGCAGTTACTCAATGAATAATTAGAATCATTTCATCCTAAGTCTAGATAGGACTTTCCATGTCTTCTGTTTTAACTACCACCTGATGCCTGAATTTCTCCTATGTTATGATACTGTGGCTGACTATATTTTGCAACGATGGCCATCACATCAACTCTCATACCATCAATTGATGGAACCCAAAACAAGAGACCCTAAGTGACAGCCACCCAGCTGAGCCCAGTCAAACCACAGAACCAACCATGAAGCATAATAAAGTGTTGTTTGAAATCACTAGGTTTTAGAGTGGTTATTACTCAGCAATAGATAACCAGGACACATACCAAGATGAATGTCTGTGTTTTCAACACAAAGTATCAATAACATTTATAACTATGGCAAATAGCATTGAGAGCTTAATATATGCTAGGCACTATTCTAAGCACTTGTATTAATTTTTTTTTTTTTTTTTTTTTTTTTTGAGACAGAGTCTTGCTTTGTCACCCAGGCTGGAGTGCAGTGGTGCCATCTTGGCTCACTGCAACCACCTCCCAGGTTCAAGTGATTCTCCTGCCTCAGCCTCCCAAGTAGCTGGGGTTACAGGCGTGCATCACCATGCCCAGCTAACTTTTGTATTTTTAGTAGAGATGGGGTGAAACTCTACTAAACCAGTAGGTTGGTCTCGAACTCCTGACCTCAGGTGTTCTGCCTGCCTCGGCCTCCTAAAGTGCTGGAATTATAGGCATGAGCTATCGCGCCTGGCCAGCACTTGTATTAATTCATTTAAACCTAATATCCACCCTTTGAGATGGGTTCTCTTATCATCTTCATTTAATAGGTAAGGACAAAGGCACAGAAAGGTTAAGAAGGTTGCATGGGTAGTAAGCTTCAGAGCTAAGCAGTCTGATTCCAGTATTACTACGATACTATACCATATATACTATTACTTTACTAATATATCCCTAAGAGGAAACCCCTGAGACCTGTTATCTGCCAGATACTGGGACATCATCCTATGCCCTCCTGGTTGCCTACCTGTCTTTTCTGCAGACCTATATCTGCCATTTAAATCAGTGTCCTTGTGAATACCCAGACGTGTTCTTTCTTCCAACTGCCTGAGCTACCCTACACCAAGCACAAACTTACACATTTTCAATCCAGAAAGTGCCCAAACAGTGTCCTCCTTACCCAGGCCATGAGGCTGATCTCAGCTCCTCAGCCAGCTTCCCTTCTAGTCCATTTATTGGGAGCTGGGCCTCCAGCTGGGATACTCTCTGGATGAGACTCTCCAGGTCCTTTTTGGCCTGAAGCCCTGGCGAGTAGAAAGCCCCAGTGCCATCAGACAGCCACCCTTCATCCTCATCAGGGACACTGTGAGGTGAAGACCCCTCCAGGGTGCCAACAGCTCTCAGCTTCCGGGGTCTCTCCAGACTAGACGAATAATCACTTGTAACCGAGAGGGACCGGACCCGGCTCTTGAGGTTTTGAATGACCTTGTTGGCATTCTGCAGCTGGGCCTTCAGATCTTTGATGTCCTTTCGTAGGACCAAGATGTTTTCTGACTTTCCATATACCCGGAACTCTTCCTGCTTCCCTAGCTGGTTCTCCAAGGGCTTCCTCTTGGAGGAACCAGCCAGCGTTGAGCCCCGGCGCCCCTGCTCAGAGCACAGCCCCTCCATCAGGACCATCTCCTTGAGGCTGTTGTGCTCCTCACACTCTGAAAAAGGACAAAGATGTCTTCCTAAATAAAAGTTGGATGTGCTATTGTGGCCACTGCCTCTGAGAGAAGGCAAGTTTGGTCGTGAGGACAATAATTACTAGAGAAAAAGTTGAAGAAGTACTTTATTCAACCCTGACACTGTACTGGGTATTCGAATACAATATTTCTTATCTTCCTTATACCTACAAGTTAGGTATCATCACCTTCTATTTTACTGACTGGGGAAAACAAAACTCAAAGAGAGGTGGTAAACTAGCTTGCTCCAGATCACTCAAACTAGCACATGGCAGAACCAGAATTCAAATCCTCCAATGTCTTGTGTTCGTTCCACACACACTGATGTTTCTTAAGACATTAACATGGCCTTATCTATTTAGGATGGCCACAAGAATGTAGGACAAGCTATTCCTGCATGCTAAAAGTTAAATGCTCTCTAAATTTTCCTATAATTTAAAAGTTTATTGGGTTACAACTGTGTGAAAAATAGGCATAAGAAAATAAGACTTTGAATAAATATATCAGCATGTTAACATCAGTGTATTAAGGCAGTGGTAGTCAGAATAAAAACTAAACCATGGCATTTTACCAGATGCCAGGCACTGTTCTAAAGCATTTTATAAGAATTTACTTATTTAATTGACATTGGTACCTGATGGGGTAGGCAGTTCCTTTATTACTATTTTAACATATGAAGAAACCGGGGCACAGGAAAGTTTACAAATTGGAATTTGAACCAACCAGTCTGGCCGCAGGATCTTTTCTCTTAACTGCCACACTACACTGCCTCAAGAATAAGAGAGATTGTGTTTTTCTTCTCTTCTGGTTTTCAATGTGGTGGGTGGCCCTATAGGTGTAGTCCTTTTATAATGCAAAACAAAATTATTTTTAACTTAGAGTTTGCATGTTTCCAAAACCTTATCTGGTCTCTAAGCAGGCCTTAGTATTTCTATAATAGTCAGTTGGATAGAACTTTATATTATTATTATTATTATTATTAGCAGTATGCCAACAACTAATTGTAGAAATACAAACTTACACTCACTCTCATTTTGGGTAAGAGTTCTCCTATTAACCTCCTGTCCTCCTCTTCCCTACTACTTGTCAGGTGTAGAATTGGCCAACAGCACCTAAATGTGACAGCTGACTCCAGGGAGGGGTGGGCCCCACACCCTGTGCTCTTACCGGGACTGGTGGTTTCCTCCCGTTCAGCCTCATTCTCACTTCGGCCACAAGTCTCATAGCCCAGGTCCTGGAGGTCCACCTGGACCTGCTTGCTGTCCTGCTTCACTAAGGATTCACCTGCTTGGGAAGAGACAGCAGGTGTTACAGAATGTCTGAATTTCCCACATATGCCCTCAGCCTCAGTGGCACATACCCTAACCTTTTGGGGCAGGGAGGTCAGATCCACAGTGGGAGAGAAGCTTCTTTGAACTGGTGGGAGAAGAGACCACCAGCTCCAGGAAGCAGAATTTCTTTCCATAGGATGAGCCTGCATTTGCCATTGACAATCTCTCCTTAAGTCAGGGATTCTATACTATCATCTCTAGCGGCCACATTGAAGCTGGCAAGTGCTTTATCCACCGGGGTTCAATAAATGTGGAATGGAGCTGAACTAATTTAGAGTCCCAAGACACCTAGACCTGTACTGTCCAATAAGAGAGTTAGTAGCCACATATGGCCAATTTATACTAAATTAACTAAAATTAAATAAAACCAAATGTCCAAGTTGCACTAGCCACACTTCATGTGCTCAATAACCACGTTATGTTGGTATAGAACACACAGAAGTTATAAGATACACAGGCTACTTACTTTACTAGTAAGTCACAGTTACTTACTAAGTATAACTCTGTATTTCTCCAGCTCATTAGCCTGAGCAAAGACAGTGGCTTCTGATAGCAGCAGCTTCTCCTGGAGATCTTGATAGCGTTGTTTGCATTGTGACAGCTGGGAGCGCAGGTGCTGAGTGGACCCTGGTAGGCTAAAGGCTGACTGAGGCCCAGGGTCACGAGGCTGGGACTGGTTATCCAACTGTGAAAGGGTCCAATACAGGGATCAGGACAGTCTGAGGTCACCCCCATGCAATGACGACCACCGCCCCTTCTGAACCCTGTGGACTTTACTCAAGTCTGTCACAGCACTTCTCATGCCATTTGGCAGGGACTTGCTTTCCAGATGGAGCTCCTGGAGCACTGGGACAATGTTTTCTTCATATCAGTATCCACAGCACACAGCACAGCGCCAATCAAGTCTACAGAGGAGCTCTCAGGAAATATTTTCTCAGTGGTACAAAAGAGAAGAGGTGTAACCCTCCACTCATCTCCCCTCGCATTCTGTCCCATTAGTTCTCTCAGAATGCCTGTATTCTCCATTTTACTGAATCTTCAGCATGGCTCCTTCCCTAAAGAGGATCCCAATAACCCATCTGAGGCCCAGGAACAGACACCTGTGATGGGCTGTGACAAAAAAAATGGCAGTGATAAGGAAGGGATGTCATTACATACCACCTGTCTGGGCTGCTTCCTAACTGATGCATCCCTATGTTACAGCAGTTACCACATCCTGTTAAAATTACCTGTTTGTGTGCCATCTTTCCTTATCACATTAAGTATCTCAAGGGCAGCCATTGGTTATATTGCCCCATGCCAATGCCTAGTGTGTTATCTGAAAAATTAAGTACTCAAGAAATATTTATGTCATAAAAGCCTTTCCAAAGGCTGAATGTAGACTGAATATTATTATTACTGCTTGTGGTACGAAGAGACCCTTCTCTTGGTACCTCCTGATTCACGTGGGAGAACGTTTTAAGGTAAACACTGTCATCTCGAGCCCTTCTCCAATTGTTTTTCATTCCATCTAAGCCCACACTTACTTGGTGGGCATCCACTGAGAAGGTAGCCCCAAGGTCAAGGCTCTTGGGTCTGGAGCAAGGCCTCACATTCACATTCCCCTCCTCTTGGTGTTGGTGCTTCCCAGGAGAACCAACCAGTTCTGTGTTTATTCTGTCGATGGTGCTGGTCAGATGCACAAGGAGCTCTGGAGTAAGTTTACTATTCCCTTCTTTGCTACTCAGCACAAGTTGTTCTTTGAGGAGGTTGATGATATTGTGGGCATTCTTCAGTTTTCCCTGGAGCTTTCTGAACTCAGCCTGAAGGCTACTCTCACTCAGACCCTCTTTGGCTACCACAGTCTCAACCATCACCTCGCCCTTCTCCTTGTCTTCCTCGATCTCCCATCCATCAGACATTGCTTCTCCCATCTGCTCTTTCAGCTCTGCATTCTCAAGGCAAAGGCTCAGCATGGTGTTCCTGCAGGAAACACACATAATTGAGGGCTAGGTCTGGTCCTGACAGCAGTTCCTATTAGTACCTCTTACCCACATCTCAGCCCATGATAAACTCAGACATACCCCAGAGCATGAAGCAACCTGAGACCTACAACAGCTCCCTAATTTTATATACAAGAAAGCCAAGGCTCAGGAAGAATAAGAGACTTGCCCAAACTTCCACAGCTTCTTGGTGGCAGCACCATCACTAGAAACCTTGGACTCAAGGCATGCAGGCTAGTTTTCTTTACTTGTGCCACGCAGTCTCATATGTTCTAATTTTTAGTAGCCTCTGGAATAAACAAGAGTACTTACACTGTTAAAAAATAAGACCTTTTCTGTGACAAATTTATTGTTATAAATTCTGCAGTTCTATTATTTATCATCAGTCAGTTTCAAACCATTGGGACTTAGGAATACAGAATAAATAAATAACACTAATCAGAATTATTAATACAATCAAAATGTACTTAGATAATTATTTGCTTTATGTCTGGCTCACATGATAGAGATAATCTTCTTATCTCTGTGTCTGTCCTATTCACCCCATATCCCCAGTGCCTACAAAAGTGCCTGCCACATAAATCATTCGTATTTGTTGAAGAAATAAAATTGACCAAAACAGCTATTTTTCACCAAGACATTCCAGATAAATTCTTTCCACAACAACGAACTCATACTAGGGTTGAGTGGAAGCAAACATGGCTGTAACAAGTCTATTCACTTAACTTCTTTGAGCCTCAGTTTCCTTTTATATAAAATAAGGATGATAACACTTACCTAGTGGAGTTAGCAGATGCTTAAATGCTTAAATGAAACTGCATATATGGTATGGCTAGCTCAGGGTCTAACAGGGAAGTCATTCAATCCCTGCTGTACTAGCTGCAGACCTGAGAAATACTAACAGCAGAATCCCATAAGGTACTGGTTAAAAAGGCTGGAGAGCTAAGGCCTGTGAATCCACATTTTACTTAAGTTCCACAGGTGATTTTTAAATTATTATTTATTTATTTTTTTGAGACAGAGTCTCACTCTGTCACCCCGGCTGGAGTACAGTGGTGAGATCTTGGCTCACTGCAACCTCCACCTCCTGGGTTCAAGCAATTCTACTGCCTCAGCCTCCCGAGTAGGTGGGACTACAGGCATGCGCCAACCACGCCCAGCTAATTTTTGTATTTTTAGTAGTGAAGGGGTTTCACCATGTTGGCCAGGCTGGTCTTGAACTCCTGACCTCAGGTGATCTGCCCACCTTGGCCTCCCAAAGTGTTGGGATTATAGGCATGAGCCACCACGCCTAGCCCACATGCTGGGCTAAGCATGCGAAACTGAGAACCCCTGGGCTACAGGATGCACAGGAAATGGGTAATTCACAACTTGAAGGATCAGCAGTGGGCTATGCACCTAGATTGAATTTCTCAGAATCCAGGAGTCTTGGAACCTAGAGCAGAACTTGTCTGGTGTGTTTCTGGGAGGAAAATAGTATATAGGATACAGAAAGACAATCTATGAGATAGTTTCTCAATAAAGAAAAAGGGGATAGGCATTTTACCAAAACTGGGATGTGGAAGGGGGATAAAGTGGGCACATGTGTATATGGAAAAGAACATTTAATATTTCTAACTTTACATTTAGAAAAAAGTGATGTTTTTAAATACAAACATGTGGAAGAAAAACTCAACAAAACCTTCTTGAAAGGAAGAACAATGCATTAGATTCTACCTTCTACAGTATCAGTGATTCTTTAGGCTGGGTGGAGGGTTGAACAAATCAGAATTTCAGGTTAGTAACAAAGGAAAATAATCCACAGGGATATCTACAGATGGTTTGATTGTAGGTTCAACAATAGAATCAAAAGAGATGTACTGTTCTTACCTATGACAACTCAATTAAGTTTACACATACAAAAATTTAAGTAACATAATATGCTTTAAGTAGAACTTAAGGAAAAAGTTATTATGATAATTCGGAGCAAAAGAATCAGCATTAGAACAACCACAAGAATTTTTAAAAAATTGTTTGACAAAGTGTATAGTATAGAAACGAGGTTTAGATGTTAGAAATTGGGAGCCACAGACTATTATGCAACCTTGAGCAAGTCACTGGAAACTTTCTAGGCCTGAGTTTCCTCAGCTATGAAACAAGGACATGAGGCTAGATGCCTAGGTCCCTTTCAAAGTGCTAACATTATTCGAGGAAGATTAAGTGGCAGGTAAGATGCAGGGAAACAACAGGGCATGATTTAGAAGTTGGACAGCTGTACTCCAAACAGGCAGTGATGATTGTAGACTTGGGAGTGAATGAATAAATGGATCAGCCCTACAGTATCAGCATGTTCTCCAAGTATCTTTTGTCAAAAAGCCATCAAAGACAGAGTGGCCAATGAATGAGCTATCTGCTATTTTTGTAAAATTACTAAAGCAGCAGAGACGAAGGGGCCTCGACAGAAACCCTCTGGCCAGGCGTGGTGGCTCACGCCCAGCACTTTCGGAGGCCGAGGCAGGGGGATCACGAGGTGAGGAGATTGAGACCATCCTGGCTAACACAGTGAAACCCCATCTCTACTAAAAATATTAAAAAAAAAAAAATTAGCTGGGCGTGGTGGCGGGTGCCTGTAGTCCCAGCTACTCGGGAGGCTGACGCAGGAGAATGGCGCGAACCCGAGAGGCGGAGCTTGCAGTGAGCCAAGATTTCGCCACTGCACTCCAGCCTGGGCGACACAGCGAGACTCTGCCTCAAAAAAAAACCAAAAAAAAATCCTCCTCCTTCGTGGACTGTTCTGGTTCTCTATACAGCAGTGAAACATAGTAGATAGCAGGGATTCCTTATATGTTTCAGTCAATTAAAAAGAGCAATACTGGTCATGTAACAAGGAGTTTTCCACCATGACTGTCATATGTATAACTGGCAGATGCACAATAATAGTGGGCATTGTTATACTGAATTAAGACCAGGATTATTTGAATAACAGAAAGTGATTACCATTAGCCAATATTACTTACTTTTATCTAAATAATTTGTAGAAATGTTAATGCATTTCTGCCTGGGATATGGACCAAGCAGCCCCTTGTCACACGGATGCCTTGGCTGCAGCAAGGCGAGGCCCTTGGCTGTGGTGCTTCATGACCCACAAGGTCCCCTTCTCTGGGAAGAACGTCTTACCTGATGTGGGACACTGAGGAGAATCCTGCTTCCTCAATTTGAGCCTTTAGCTCCTTCAGTTCCTCCTCAGCTTTCCTCTTCTCTTCTAAGTGCTGGTGGATCTCAGCCCTCAGGTGGAGTATTTCTTCCTGAAGACACTTGTTACTGTCCCCTCCCATCGGGGAAGGAGGGGAAAAAGATGGATTCTGGGTCTCCACAGTTGCCAGACTTTTCTCCAAAGCCACCTTGACAAGCTAAAAGAAAATCATGGTTTGAAGAAGTTAGGCCATTAAAGAGGACCCAAGAGAAACATGAGATTGCAAAGGCAGTTCTCAATGAGAACAAAAACAAACAAAAAAAGCAGATCTAAAATGAACTCCCTATCCAGAACCTCCTTAGTCAGGCAGAAGGGCTGGTTTCGGTGGGAAGGACACACTAAATGAGCAGGAGGAATGGAGGAGTGGAGCAGGAGGAGTGGAGAATAGGAGAATCCGGAGATGGTGAGGGAGAAAAGCACATAAGAAATTAAAACAAATGCAAACAAACAAGGTTGAAACAGTACTGGAGGGTGTGAATGCGGTGATTCTTCTCTTCCCGAGGAGACAGAGTCCTGCGAGTTTTCTCACAAGTCAGGAAGCTTCATCAGCTCTGCAACACTTGAGTGCTGGATGGCGGGAGATGACGGCTTAAGGTATCAGGGCGCAAAGCCTAAGGCCCTGCCTGTAACTCTGACTCCCTCAAGGACAGCCGAGAGGGAGGACTCGGGGCACTGGGGAAACAGTCAGCAGAGGTAGTCACAGAATTAGAATAAGGTGGAGCTACAGGGAAGACAACACCAACCATTTCATTGGCAGCAGAAGAATCACACTCTGCAGCTACTGGGAGGTACAGGTGGAGCCACCCTGCCAAGCAGCCGACCTCACTTTTTGGTTATTATCCTTATGCCAATGCTGCCAGACAAACTCTCTCTACAAATCTCAGCATGTGGAAGAAACAGAGGGAGGAACAATTGCCCAGCACCTTTCTATTTCTCGAGGACACTCTTGAAGTTATTCATCAATGTTTTAATTAAAGCAGATCTTATGGCTTTTCCTCAAATGCAAATTTGTTAACTTTTAGACTTTGTTTTGTTCATTTTGGGCTTTATCCCATGCTCTTAAAAGTGTAGAAATCAAAATCTGAGTATGATAATCTACTTAGCATATGACTAATTACTTTAGTACAAGGAGCTCCTGCCTGTCCAATATTATCTAAATATGTCCCAATGTCACATTGGCTTCTTTTTCTTCTCAGTGGCAGCATCTGGAGCCTTTACTTAACTTCAGGTGAATTTTGACCTCTGAATTTTCCACCCCTCCCCCACAGCTGTTGCTGGGTCGTGTTGTTTTGTTTTATCTCTATACATACTGTGACTTGTAATTGTCACTTATAAATTCATTCTGGATATACTGAATCATTCACAAATCATGTAGTGGCCCCCTGATTGGGGATGATTTGTAGAATTAATTATGTGCTTTATATCTCCATTCAGGTCACCAATACATTGAACAGGGCAGGGCTGAGAACAGCTTATATGGATCAATGATTGACAGAGCTGCCGGGGTTGGCGCAAAGCCACTGACTTTTGCTATTCCCCAAAACAAAGTATGTTCAAATCTAGGTCACAGGTTTGCGGCAGGGTTGATTCACAGTATGCATGTGCAATGATGTTCAGTAGCATGCATAGCAGTTGAGGTTGTGAAGACCTGTGCACCCAGGTCAAAGAAGAAACATCCTTAGACAAAGCCACTCAATTCCCAGGCACCCAGTCTTACTTGGGCTTTATAAGCCTGAGATTTGGCAGGCTCCCGGGAATGTCTGTCTCTAAGACTCTGCTAGCAGGCTTAATCAGACTGGTGGCCATCTCCATATGTGCCCCCCAGCATTTGTGACAAAATAAGGGAAGGGGGACCAAATAAAACCACTTCTGAAAGCTTATGATCCCATCCCTCATTTAAACTATGTGATGTTGCCATTCTATATAAACTCTTTCCAAGTAACTTAACTAAAACGTACTTTGCCATTAGTCTTGAGTGCAGGCACAGCATTTTTCTTTTCTAGGCCTTAAGGGTTCCTTCTGCTTAAAAATAATGTCTAACTTTAATGAAGTTTACCGATTATTAAAGTGCCTTCTGGATATATGTTACCTTGTTCTATTGGTTTCAATATACCTATTTTCTTTAAAAAGAAAAAATTATGAACCATGAATGTTAACACCAGAAAAACCTTAAGGTACATCGGATCTAATTTCCCACTTTAAAGTGAGAAAATCAAACATTGCCTAGGGATCTGATTTTTCCCCAGGCTAATTTGCATTTTCATATTTCCATCTCAAAGTGGACTTTCTTTGGCTAAGTTTTAAATGTAAATGCCTGAAAAGTAACTCATGATCTAGCCTTTTCATTAGTTTTGATTATGTATGAAAGCAAATATTTCTTTCTCCCAAATGAAATCCCAGGGCTTCCAGTATCTGTAATGATAGTGTGAATCCATTAGGTCTATTTTGAATTATATCTCTCTTGGATTTTTTTTCACATTTCCTAACTCACTTGTGACATTGCTTCCATATAATTCAACTTTTTGTGCGCTGGGTTCCCATTTGCCCCACAAAGGCCTATGTGCAAATCTGATATCCTGTTTGAATGACACTGTTTTGTTTTTACCCTATTGCTTCATATCTGTCACAATGTTAAGTCAGTGCTCAACATTAAGGCATTAAAAATGAGCTTTTCTCAAATGCTCAGCATCACTAATCATTAGGGAAATGCAAACTAAAACCATAATGAATATCATCTCACACCTGTTAGAGTGGCATTATCAGAAAGGTGAATGATGTGTTAGAGATAATGCAGAGAAAAGGGAACACACACATTGTGAATAGGTATGTAAATTAGTACAGCTGGTGTGGAAAACAGTATGGAGTTTCCTCAAAAACCTAAAAATAGAATCTACCCTATGATCCAGTAATCCCATTTCTGGGTATATATCCAAAGGAACTGAAATGAATATGTTAAAGGTATATCTGCACTCTCATGTTCATTACAGCATTATTCAAAATAGTCAAGATGTAGAACCAACCTAGGTCCATCAGTAGATAAATGGGTAAAGAAAATGTGGCAGATAATACACAACGGAATACTATTTAAACTTAAAATGTCAGGGGATAGGTCCTGTCATTTGTGACAACATGAATGAATCTGAAGGTCATTATGCTTAGTGAAATAAGCCAGGCACACAGAGACACATACCACATAAGCTCACCTATATGTGGGATCTAATAAAGTTGAACTCATAGAAGCAGAGAGTAGAATGGTGGTTATTAGAGGCTGGTGGAGTGGGGAGGGAGAGTAGAGGGAACTGTTGATCAAAAGTATCGACAAAAAGAGTAGGTCTTAAGATCTATTGCATAGCAGGGTGACTATAGCCAATAAAATGTATATTTCAAAATAAGAGTAAATTTCCAATGTCTCACCATCAAAAATGATAAGTAGGCAAGTTGATGAATACGTAATTAGCTTTGTTTAATCATTCCATATTGTTTGTGTGTATATATATGTGTGTGTGTATATATATACATAAAATCATATCATATCCCATAAATGTATACAAGTACGATTTGTCAATCAAAAATAACTTTTTAAAAAATAGCTTTTTTCAAGTTTATCACACTTTGTCTACTAACGTCTGTTCTTTGTATTTGAATCTTGATTTTTTTTTCTTTAAGAGGTGGGGGTCTCATTATGTTGCCCGGGCTGGCCCTGAACTCCTGGGCTCAAGGGATTCTCTTGCTTCAGCCTCCTGAGTAGCTGCAACTATAGATGCACACTACCTGGGCTTGAATCTTTATTCTTGATTAACTTTTTCTCCATTATAAAACTTCACATAAAAAATACAATGGTTGATTACTCTAGTTTCTTTCACAGCAATTTCATAGGTATTTATGATAGATCTTACATCTGCTTGATAATAGAATTTCGTGGGAGATAATCTAGGGAAAATTACTATCATGGCCAGACTTGAGGCTTCCTGAGGTGGCTGAGTCCAAAACATAAGGAGGAAGCAACTTGCATTGGCCAAAAGGTGATTCTCACCTTGGAAGAAAGACAAGGTTGGATGTGTCTGTTAGGGAAAGTGTATGAATGCTTGGAGTAGGAAGGGAGCTTGGTGTCAAGCAAAAGTTTACCTTCCAAGGACTTAACAAGGAGAAGCTCAAAATCTACTTTAAGGGACCACTTTCCTGGAAACAAGCAAACAAATTTTGAGAATCTGGACACAAAACAGTTACGGCAAAGTAAGCTTTATTTAATTGGTAGCAGGAGAGTCACAACCTCAAACTCCAGAAAGATGAAGTAAATTTGCAATGATTTCACACTCCAAGATTCCTCCTACCCAAAGCTGAAGATGTGTTTTCGAGGAAAGGCGATAGAAAGAAAAACGGTGCTTACCCAAGAGATTCTTCCATCCAGCAGGTACATACTTTGTCTATCATGAGTCAAGCCCTGATCCAAAGGCTTGTTAACTCATAATTACACTAAGCATGTCTCCTATGCCAAGTAATGTGGCAAGTATTGTGAGGGAAATACAAATGCCCTAATGTAAAATGTTCATTCCAGGGTGGGCTGACCTTCTCAAAATGGGGTCTGGTCAGATTCTCCATTCTAGGCTACAGGAAAGAAGGCTGAAGAAGAAGCAACTTTACAACTCAATTTGCCTACAGTTGAGAATCAGAGCAAATGACTTGCAATACCAGGAGCACTTCAGACCATATCAATCAGAATCTGACTGTCTTCATATCTGTGTCTCCTGTTCATTTATTCTGAAGTTAATCCTGTCCCACAGTCATTATAACCATCAGTGACCAACCAACCTCCCAATCTAGCTGTCTTAGAGTAGACATTTGTTCATTCCGCAGGTCCCTCTCTCTCACCCAAGATCCTCAATGAAATCAGAGAGTGAGGACAGAGGGATCTGTCTGGAGGGACAGAGATGTATATAATTAAAGACACAACCATCAGTAAGGAGGACTCAGGAGAAGCTGTTCAAGTAAAAGAAAAAGTGGAGCTCATGCAAGCACTCAAGGGAGCAGGGAAGGTTGGGTACAGCTATAGCAACAAGAAGGCTGATCCTACTACAAGAAGGTGATCCAACTACTATAAAGAAACTGTTGAGAACATGACATATCCCAGACAACTACTCATGTCTGCAAGTGCCAAATCCCAAAAGATTTGAGGACGCTCACTTGGGCTCTTCTTATTGGTTGATTCGATGTCTCCTCTTTCTCTTATGCAGAAGACATACAGGCAGACCCAGAAAGCCTCATTTCTTGTATAGTTTTCCTAAAAGCCCCAAGAAAGCTGTCACTGGAAAGTCCAGCTGCTTGCGTGGGACACCTACCAATGATTCACTTTCTCCTTAAGAATCATAAGCACAGTCCATCTAGGAGATGAGATTGCTAAATGGCACGGACAAAGTGGAGACATTATAGGAGTTCCAGTGAGTGCTTGTGGGATCACTATTGGTGACTTAATCTCTGAAGTCCAGATTATTCACTCTTGTAACATGCTAGTTACATCTGCATTGATGGTGGATGGAAGTTTCAGCCTCAAGTTCTGAGGCTTGACAGGGGATTGCTGTTGAAGAACCATCTGCTGATCATTGAGTCACCATGACCTCAGTGGTTTGTCAGGTTGCATAAGGTTCTCTCTGTATAATGAGATTTCACTGAGAAAGATCCTTGCTTTGGAAGCATTCCAGTCTTCTTGGAGTTCCTTCCCAAGCAGGTCCTTCACCCCGCTACCTCCCCGAGCAGCCCTTTGATGACTCCCTGTCTTCTGTGGTGCTTTTCAGTTACAAAAAGCCCAAGGGGAATGTGTCCATCGTTTTTCAAGTAAAAATTCTTCTGAAGCTATAGCTACAGAGAATAAATAGAGGCAAAGGTGGGTAGGAAGGGGCAGGAAGCAGAAGAAAGAGATACAATACAAATCAAAGGGTGGATTGGAGAGGAAAATGGAGTGAAGACATGGGTTGGAAAGGCAGCCGGGAAGCTCAAGGAGAACAGGAAGATGACTGAGAAGTGGTTTATATAAAAAAAAAATCTTCTCACTCTAAGTCCACAAGGGCTGCAGGAGACCATCAGACCTCAGAAGGGCTGTGTGCCATTCACCCTGGAAGCTCCAGACCCTGACACTGACTTACTTGCTGGTGACTATGGTGTGTGGCCTCCTCCTCAATACTGTCAGTGAACTCAGTGCTTGCATCTTCCGTGTCATCCCCTGCAGCTGCACCTGGAAATAAGTCCAGAAAAGAAAAGTGATTCCCTTCACAGATGGCTTCCAGACAGCAGGTTAAAGTATACTCTTTTTGCCAGCTGCCTCTGATTTCTTCCTTTCTCCATATACATGGGGAAGAAATTCTCCCTAGCCAGCAGGGCTGGCAAGAAAAATAGAACTTTTTGTATCATAGACACTTTCTTACTCATACTCAAGTCTGAGCCTCACAACATAAGCTGACTTTGTCTGCACAGACCCATTTCTAAGGAGCCGACTGTCAGATACACTGGTTAACCCACTCAAATGTCAAAAAAGCCTGAATTATTCCCCATTGCCTGGCAACATAAAAACTTTCTCTTCCACAACATGAATCCAACATGACTAACCCTTTCCCACCACTGAGTGCCTGGAGATTAGAGCTGCCCTGATTCTCTCAGAGGTATCTACTGTTGGGATCATTTGTGCATAGGGTGACAATCTCTCTGAGGAACTTCCCTCTGGGGGTCCCGTGTCCTCGTAAGGTTCAGGTCTAGTCAAGATTCAAGACATCAAATGATTCAGTTGTTCCATAATTTCTTCTTCTAACCTCCGTTCTTCCTCACCTCTCTCAAACTCTTATTCTATGCAGACACCCTTTGCCTAAAGGGTTTCTTGCACTGCTTTATCCACATGCAATTTAACCCATCCTTTCATTCTCCAAAGATGGACACAGCAACTCTAGGGCCCAAACATCTACATCTTGCTCTAACGTACAAGTAGCTGCAGTTTGCGGTATGGGCAAAGGTCTAAGGCAGCACTGACCAAGAGGACTTTCTGCAATGACAGCAATGTTCCATGCCAGTGTTGCCCAGTACAGTGGACACAGTCATATATGGCTATTGAGCATTTGAAATGTGGGTAGTAGAGCCCACATTTCAAATCACTGAATTTTAAATTTTATTTAAATTAACTTATATTTAAATGACTACATGCGGCTAGTGGCTACCCTCCTGGACAGCACAAATCTAGGGTGTTTCTTCCTCCTTATATTGATTAAAATTAAGACTGTTCATATATTCTAAGACCAAGAGCTATGTTTTACATTACTGATTTTTTGGGAAGTGTAGAAATTTGTTATGGCTAATTTATCAAAGAAAATCTACTGTGACACTCACTATGTCTTACAGAACCTCCCCAACTTAAAGAATCTTGAAATCTTGTTCTCATCATAGCCTCAGCAACCAACCAGTTACAACTCCACTTCTGACCACTGATTAACCTGGATCTCAAAGAGATTAGTTGGTGAGTCCAAGGTTACACAACTAGCCCTCACAAGAGCTGTGTCAGTAAGTCAAGACTCTGGACTTTTAGAAGCCACTCACTTTTTCTTCTGGTGACAAATGAGATCTTTATCTTTGCTTCTTCCTCCAAGACCAAAGAACCTTCCATTGAGTTCAGACATCCAGGCATGAAAGGCTCTGCTTGAATCATGAGCATTCACTACCCAATGCAGGTAAGGTAAGCGGGGCAGTTCACATCTACATGTTTGCAATGGCCCAGGCTGATCTCATGGAAGTGCTAAGAGGTAGTAAGTTAGTAAGTATGCTGTGATAACAGCTTAGGTTTCCTCATCTACACCATGAACTTTGTGTTAACTTTGGATCAAAGAAAAGTCTTGTTCAGTGAAGCCCCTACCACCTCTACCACTCAGCATCTTTAGAGGTCTGTGGCAGACAGTGTACAAGAGGAATTTCCAATACTTACTCATTCAAACCAACCCCAGAAACCATCTCACTCAGGATGCTAGCTGAGTAGAGGGGTATGGACACATTCCCTAATCTTTTGCTGCTTTAAAAACTTACTGAACCCAGGATTTACCTAGGACACCCATATCATGTTATGCTTACTTTAGAAAATCTTTCCCTGTACAACAGTAGCAATCACAATCTTTTATGTTTTTCCAGCAAAGGAAATGAATTGTCTCATTCAGTGACAGAAAACAGACTGTTCACATTGTTTCTCTTTTGAACACGGGGCTGGAGAAGGATCCTGTAGTTGAAGAAAGCTCAGCTCTGTGAGGTCAGGATCCTCATCCCCTACCGTTGTTGCTGGGTTGTGTAGTCAAGCTGGGCCCACATCCCAGGACCATTCCTGCCAGGTTCCAGAAGCGAGAATTGAAAAGAGTGACTGTCACTGGTCTTGATGGTTTTTATCTGACACTTTCTGCCCTCCATTTATCTTGGCAGCCTTTCTGGTGCCACGTCTGCATTCTAGGATAATGCTCCATCTCATTTCACTTAACAGCAGGATGCTATGGTTCTGGCTTCATAAGGAATTAGATGGAGACAAACAAATGCTCGTCTCATCTCAACACTCTACTACACAGGGGTTTTGTTTCTTCCCTTCTTTCTCTTCTTTAAGCTAGCTCGCAGTCTTCTTCCATTATGGCAATTTTAAGGGTTGCTCAGCCTTTTAACAATTTGAATTAAAATGCTGAAATTTTTCTCCCATGTTTGAGGGGTAAAGCTAAAAAATTTATAGAAAATATGGGAATAAAAGAGTAAGTTATCTCATACAAGGTCCCATGTATAAGTTTACATTAGACATCTTTTATCATTTTCCATTTTTAAAATTAATGATAGAACTTCTCTTTTGTGAGTGATACCCTTTTCTAAACTTTTACAGCACAACGAAACACTGTCTTAACTTGGAATACTTTGAATTTCTAATTTAAAGGTACCTATGCTTTTATATTGATGACTCTTCTGTTTATTTTTTGATAAAATATAAAATAGTCTGCTACCTTTAGATTCTCTGGAAGCTAAGAATCGCTTCATTTAACTTGCTTCTTCGAGATTAAGCTTTACATGTTAGACTGGCAATTTTATCAAAAACTTTTATTTGAGGCTTCAATAAAAGTTCTCAACTTATGGTTCTTGGAAGTTTCTAGGCTTTGAACAACACAAAATGGAGGTGATATCAAGATGTCCCTTATTTAGATTTAGAAAATTATTTTCTATCAGCTATCTAATTCCATAAAGTACACAAAAATAAGCCTCTAAAACATAAGACCATAAAATCCTTGGGAGAAAATGTAAGCATTATGCAAATATAAGGTATTCTTATCACTGAGGCAAAAATTCATACTACTGTAGAACTTTTTAAATTGAGTATGGCATAATAATAACATGAACTATGGAGATAGACTGTCTAGATTTGAACTGTGCTTTTTTCGTTAGTTATGTCACTTTAGGCAAGTCATAACCTTTCCATAACTAAGTTTCTTCATTTAATAACTAGGGTTAAGAGCATTATCCGCTCCATACTGTCGTGAACTTTAAAGGGTTTGCTGATTTTGAAGTGCTTAGAACAGTGCTTGGTACACAGTGTGTACTCAATAAATATCATCCTTAAACAATATTATTATTATTGTTATTGTAAGTAAACTGAAGTGGTCCATGGGCTTATCAGTTGAAGACTCAGAAAGTTGAAGGCCATAGAACCTAAATATCGTCAGCAGAAGGAAGTTTTATACTTGATGTTATTATCTGAAAGATCTTGATGGATTCCACCTGCACTTCTTCATTTTTGAATACTTGTTTCCCCAGAAGGAGGCTTGAAATGACACTCTTTGCTCTCTGCCTCACAGGACATTGAAAACCTAAGGAGTTGTCAGTAAAGTAGGTTGAATTCTTTGGAGCAGGCGCCTTACAAAAAGGATTAATCATCATTAAACGATAACTGTCTTAAAACTCCAACATGCATAAATAAGCCTTAGGGGAAACTTCATGACCTTTTATTGGTTTTGTTTTATTTTGCTTTAGGGATGAGGTCTCATTATGTTGCCCAGGCTGGTATTGAACTGCTGGGCTCAAGGGATCCTCCCACCTCAGCCTCCGAGTAACTGTGACTACAGGTGCATGCCACCACACCTGGTTCATGACATGTTAATTCTTTAGTAACGAGTCCAAACTGGGTGGAGTCAAGACCATTTCCCCTAAATTCTACTTTGTAGTCATTATTATCTTCCTTTAAGCCATTAATATGGGATCAACAGAAAAAGAGTGTTTTTCCATATAGTTACTTAGAACATGGCAATGTTCTAAGATCATATTTTATTAATTTTAAAAGGTGATCTGAAGAACTAAAACTTTAAGCATGAATAAGTTGGCAGTGCCAAGTGTTCTTTCCTTCGGTACTGGGCCCTTGTGTCTGATACTCTCAGCCCCATCTCACTTTCACTGCCAGGTGCTCTGCCATGCGTTCATTACAAGAACGCTCGCATTTTCATGTCATGAACCAACTAGTGCTGACTTTAATATTATGGTGCTGTATGAGAGAATCAAGGAAAAGAGGCCTCCTATCAAACTACAATTGCACACTGCCCAAGGTAATAATTGCATACTGCCCAAAGTAATACTGCCCAAGGTAATTTATAGATTTAATGCCATCCCCATCAAGCTACTAATGACTTTCTTCACAGAATTGGAAGAAACTACTTTAAAAAGTTCATATGGAACCAAAAAAGAGCCTGCATTGCCAAGACAATCTTAAGCCAAAAGAACAAAGCTGGAGGCATCATGCTACCTGACTTCAAACTATACTACAAGGTTACAGTAACCAAAACAGCATGGCACTGGTATCAAAACAGAGATACAGACCAATGGAACAGAACAGAGTCCTCAGAAATAATACCACATCTATAACCATCTGATCTTTGACAAACCAAACCTGACAAAAACAAGAAATGGGGAAAGGATTCCCTATTTAATAAATGGTGCTGGGAAAACTGGCTCACCATATGTAGAAAGCTGAAACTGGATCTCTTCCTTACACCTTATACAAAAATTAATTCAAGACAGATGAAAGACTTCGATGTTAGACCTAAAACCATAAAAACCCTAGAAAAAAACCTAGGCAATACCATTCAGGACATAGGCATGGGCAAGGACTTCATACCTAAAACACCAAAAGCAATGACAACAAAAGCCAAAATTGACAAATGGGATCTAATTAAACTCAAGAGCTTCTGCACAGCAAAAGAAACTACCATCAGAGTGAACAGGCAACCTGCAGAATGGGAGAAAATTTTTGCAATCTACTCATCTGACAAAGGCCTTATATCCAGAATCTACAAAGAACTCAAACAAATTTACAAGAAAAAGAAACCCATCAAAAATTGGGTGAAGGATATGAACAGACACTTCTCAAAAGAAGACATTTATGCAGCCAACAGATACGTGAAAAAATGCTCATCATCACTGGCCATCAGAGAAATGCAAATCAAAACCACAATGAGATGCTATCTCACACCAGTTAGAATGACAATCATTAAAAGGTCAGGAATCAACAGGTGTTGGAGAGGATGTGGAGAAATAGGAACACTTTTACACTGTTGGTGAGACTGTAAACTGGTTCAACCATTGTGGAAGGCAGTGTGGCGATTCCTCAGGAATCTAGAACTAGAAATACCACTTGACCCAGCCATCCCATTACTCGGTATATACCCAAAGGATTATAAATCATGCTGCTATAAAGACACATGCACACCTATGTTTATTGCGGCACCATTCACAATAGCAAAGACTTGGAACCAATCCAAATGTCCATCAATGACAGACTGGATTAAGAAAATGTGGCACATATACACCAAGGAATACTGTGCAGCCATAAAAAAAGATGAGTTCATGTCCTTTGTAGGGACATGGATGAAGCTGGAAAGCATCATTCTCAGCAAATTATCGCAGGGACAAAAAACCAAACACTGCATGTTGTCACTCATAGGTAGGAATTGAACAATGGGAACACTTAGACACAGGAAAGGGAACATCACACACCGGGGCCTGTTGTGGGGTGGTGGGAGGCGGGAGGGATAGCATTAGGAGATATACCTACTGTAAATGATGAGTTAATGAGTGCAGCACACCTACATGGCACATGTATACATATGTAACAAACTTGCATGCTGTGCACATGTACCCTAGAACTTAAAGTATAATAAAAAAAGAAGTACTACATATTCATGTTATATACTAAAATTAAACCTATATCAGGAAGCCAACTTGGTTTATGTACTTAAAACCCCTATTCTTCATATTATTTTAAATACAACATTTTCTGACATTGCTGAACTTTCTATTTTACTCTTCCAGGTTTAGTAAGAGGAAAACAGTATGATAAAGATTTTTACTTCTGGAATTTGACTTTAAACAACAAAAAGGGAGAGTAACACAAAAAGAATCAGTATGTCCCTTTATAAGTTTAATTATTCTTATTTGAAACCTGGTAGAATTAGTACTGTCAGGACCACAGTTTTTGTGTTTTGTGTTTCCTTCCATTTCCCATTCTTTGTTGGAGACAAATTACAATGCTATTTTTTATTTAGAGAATTCATCTTGGCCCAGATGAGAACAGGGAGAAGTTGAAGACTTACCTTCTGTTAACACTTAGATTACTTAAAAGCAGCAGGCTTGTTATTTGATCATAATAAAATGTTTTAACAAAGCTACTGGTACAGAGGGTGAGAAGGTGGCTTAAATCCACATTCTAAAACACATTATAACTGAAATCATTACCCTACAGAAATCACTCCAATATATTATCCTAGTGACTCATTTCTTCTGTTTATTACTGTAGTGCCATACTCAAGTTCCATATTTCCAGCTATTCTTTCCACGGTACAAATGGTTCCACACTACCAAAGAGAAAAGAAAAGCTTACTGAGCTTTAACCCTGAGAGAACTGAGAGAAAATACTCTGTATTTTCTCAGGTATCTCACAGGATATCCCTGGAAAAGAAAACTAATTTCATTTGTTCTATCTCTAGTACAAACTTCTACAAGGTAAAATGGAAAATGGACTGTAAGTGTGTGGGTTACTAATATTTCTTCCTAACTTCACAGGAAGTTTGTCACCTTTCTTTGCAGGATACTGACTGTAAAGTCAGTAATACTCCATGAAGCCCTATTTGAAAAGGCCACTTGAGCTTTTCAGGGATGCCAAATGTCAAGATTTTGTGATTGTTTTATAAAAAAGACCCTGAAATGGGAAAACAAGTTTATCCTATCAATGGGAACTGGAGTTTTCTAATACTACCTCAAGAAAAGCAAAGGTATTATTGTTCTCTCTAAGGCTTACAGTCCAAAGGAAAGTGACTTTAGGTAGCTCAGTCAACCTTTATTTCTCAGTGAAAAGGACAATTTTCAATACAATGTGATCTGCTCTTCCTTTCCACAATCAGTAGACTCCAGATCCAACTGGAAGATCAACATAGAGAGAACTGAAATCAGTTTTCTTGAAGTTTTTGAAGCTTTGAGCCAAACATCTCATGACCCAGACACTGAATTAGGAGGATGAATGAGCATAAAAGTGACAGGTTTTTTATGTATATCTGCCACAGAGTTTACTTATGTATAAACTGTGTAAACAGAATATACTCAAGAACCCTCAAGGAAACTAATTCTTATGGTTAGGAACTCATATCCTACACAGGTTAAGATTTTCTGGATCCTTAATAGATCTCTTGCTATATATAATGTAATAGAAACATCTTTTAAAAATATAAACAAGGAAAAATGTATTTCCTCTAAGAAGCAAAGGTACTGAAACTATTACTGCTGTCCACAACTGAATGAAGAGAAGAGGGTGTGGAGAAGGTTGGGTGACAGGTAAGAGTGCACATGATCAAAGGAGAAGGCGGACCTACTAACATAGTCCAATAATGTCTTTTCGAAAAAGTTATAACTTGGCTATCTAAAAAGAGAACAGCAGATGAATGTTGATTTATACTAGGTGCTAATAGTCATCAAATTTTCAATACTATAAACTTTCAATAGAAAAGAGTTTAGGGACAATATCTGTCTAAGGACATTTAGTTCGCTTATTAAGTAAGTCCTCTTGGAGGTTCTTTTCAACTCTATTATTTCTAAAACCTACAGACTTCATCTACCCTGAACTCTTACAACCATTACTCTGCATTATTTGCTATTATTCAAACAGGAAATGTGAGAAAAACAAAATCTATCATATGGATTTTTTTCTCAATTTAAGTTCTATGCTTCCAATTAAGCATGGCCTAAGGAAAAATTTACTTCATTATTTTTATTTGAAGATTATTTTTAGTCAAGTGCAAGGTTCTATAAGCACACGATGCTTTATCTAAAATTACTGCCATGTTGAAAAATGACTGTCAAAGGTAGAATAATCTCAAGCACAAGGTTCTATAAGCACACGATGCTTTATCTAAAATTACTGTCATGTTGAAAAATGACTGTCAAAGGTAGAATAATCCAGTATGATAAAGAGTCTGTGCTCCTGAAGAGAAAATGGAATATTATATCATGCTAAATATTATTAAGTGATATGTCCAACACCCAAAGTTGTTAGACCAGCAAGCTCTCTCCAGATAACATTGTTTGTAAGCCTCATTCCAGCTATCTAGACCAGAAAAAGTTAGTGCCATATTTTAGTCACATTTATGAGATTAAGATCAGACTTTTATCCTTCTATCAATCTACTCTTGCTGGAGGTTGAGAGAAGTAGAAGTGATTATTAACATAAACTGTAATCAATATGAGCCATTAGAAACCATGCATCACCCAGAGCTGAATCTTACTAGCAGACTCAGAGAGCTTCCTTGTTCTATTAGTAAAATTAAGCAAAGACATTCCCTAAATGCCTTGTTGTAATGGCACGACAAACTAGTCTTTGATGGGTTGGCATTTCTACAGCTCCATTACCTTCCTCTTCTGGAAAGTTACAAAAAATTTTGTGCAAGAAACGGTCTCTTAAAATTAGGAGACTAAGAAAAGTGGATGGATCTGCCTACACTTCCTATCTTCTTCCTCCACTGACTCCTTTATCCTCAAAAGCCATTGAAACTGAAATGGCAGATCCATTAAGAGTAAGGCTTACGGCTATCAATCTTTTGCAAATTACTTAATCAGAAGATTCCAGAGTGCTTCCCTAGTAGAACATTTTCTCCCTGTCCACTCTAGTTTGACTGATGCTCTACCTGTTATAGACACAGCTAAAGTTACAGAAACAGATGAAATTTACAATGTAATACAAGCCATGTCAACATGTGAAAGAAATATAAAGTGTCATGTAAAAAAAAAAAAAAAAAGAAGGAAAAAAAATTGTGCCCCACTTAGTTTAGAAAGGGTATCCAGTCACATTTATTGTGCTAGAAAGCCTCAATCGCTGTTCCCAAATTTCATATTTAAAGTAACTGAAACCTCAGCTTCTAACCTAGGAAACGTACAACCACAGGAAATAAAAACAAACTCATGGTGTTGAACCCACAAAGCTGCAAAGCAATCTTGGTTACTTTTCACACTCATGATTGTTAAGATATCAGAAATACAATCTCCAGTGCCCCTCTCCTTATACCTGTCATGTTGCCACAAGAAAGCATTGAGACAATGATTAAAACTATAAACACACATCTGTAACATTTCTTTCTAAACTATTCAAGCACTTCAAAGCCTGAAGCCTATTACTAATTTTTATATGGAGAAATGTATACATACTAAATAGTGAAAAATATAGGACCCTATTTAGTGCCACAAATGGAAGATGCAATACCCTCCTTTGGCTATAATGAGTTATTTGGTGAAACACTGAATGTAAAGAGGGATACTACATTTGAAATTATCTTTGTAAACAGAGATCATTCTGACACTGGAAGACCACTCTAGAAGTCATGTTCTGACTAAACAGCATGACTTTGGTTTAAAGAAACCTAAAGGAATCAATAAAGAACAAATTTTAAATAGAATTTAATCTGTACCTAATCTAATTTCACTCATGTACAACAGTCAACTCTGAGACAGTATTGGAGATAAAAGTTTACTATGATCACTTTCATAGTTTTTGCCTCTGTTCTTTAACTTGGCCTTCCCAATACTTGCAGTCTACTATTACAAGACTACTCTCCTGGTTTTGATTACCTTCTGATAAGGATTATATCACTTTTACGAAGTCATTCTTACAGACTCTCAATCTCCTTCCCACTCTCTCATCTTAAAACTTGTACTCTTTTGATTTAAAAAATGCTCTCACTCAAAGAGGAGTTGACTAAATGGCAAAAATAATACACACACATGCATTTATGATATGATATGGAACATATGAAATGGATTGTGAAAGTGGGGGAAGAATAAACTTTATTGGCCCACAGAAGGGATGAGGGAATGAGAAGGGGCTAGAGATAAGAATGAATAAAAGTGGAAAAACTAAAGCAAAATGATTTAAAATGTGCAAATACACTTTGCAACCTCTACCATTCAATTTGGGGATTGATATGTATGTACAGTGAGATCCATGTAGGCTAAAGTGAGTTTCACTTTGTAGTTGATGCTACTTGTACCAGTTCTATCATTAGTAAGTCACCGTTTAATTCTGCCAAAGTCAGATAAGGATCTTTCTGGTTAGTGCAAACAAGGTTTTCCATCCTGGGCTGCAGTCTGACCCACCAGTGCTCAGTAGGCATGCTTGTGATGAATTCGCACACTTTCCAGTTCCCCACCTCCAATGGCGGCCAGGGTCTCCAGCCTGTTTAAGCGCTCCAAGTTTCGTCCAAGAACTTCTTCTAGCCGACTGCGTAACACCTGAGCCCCTTCCAGTTCCACCTGCAGAGTTCGGTCTCTCTCAGAGCTGATTAAACATGCCACACGGAAGGAAAATGGATTAGCCATCAACTGTAGTGAGTCCATATTTGCTTCCAAAGAACCATCAGTGCCACTTTGAGCCACACGACTTTGTAAAGTAATTGTTCTCCAGGACACAATAAATGAATGTAGTCTGTGTGGCATTTGTGTTCACTGCTGATAGATTACTAAAGACTGCTCCCTTTTTTAAAAGCTTGCCCCTTATGCTAGATTCTGGGCCAATTTCACATAAAATTATAGCCCCTAAGACTTATCTCACACCCTTATAGCCCAAAAAAGAGAAATTTCATTATTTGACTAAAAGCTTTTTTTTCTGAAAAACTAAAACCCAGGACAAACTAAATGTAAACTGGAACAAGACTGAGCCAAGTAGAACCACTACTGAAGAGACTTGTTTTCTCATTTGTTACCAAACTTGAGGTGGGATGGTGTGCTGAAAAGGAATCTGGTTCATAAACACTAAAGCTCCAGTTACTTTTTAAGTTCTTTAAAAAGTAACACAATCAACTGGTCCTATCAGACCTTTCCTCTGCCTTCATTTTCCTGGTAGAAAGAAAACATTTTTAAAGCCCAACAATAAATTATAGGAAACTGAATAGCAATAATAATAATAATAATAACATAATAATAATTGAAAAAGAGTAAAAGGGGCTGGTAGGGAGGGCAGAATGAGAAAAAAAAATGAAGAGAATATAAAATGATCCAGTGAGGTATCATATATGTGACCAAAAATCAAGAGGTAGAAGAAAATATATTCATCATGATAGTTATCGGTGGTCCCAGGATGATTTAGCCATCCCAATTAATATATTTTAATTGATGATATTAAATGAATATCAGTGCCCATTACAACCTTACTTTTTGTTTTTTTCGAGATGGAGTCTCACTCTCTCACCCAGGATGGAGTGCAGTGGTGCGATCTCTGCTCACTGCAACCTCTGCCTCCCGGGTTCAAGTCATTCTCCTGCCTCAGCCTCCCGAGTAGCTGGGACTACAGCACGCACTACCTCACCAAGCTCATATTTGTATTTTTAGTAGAGACAGGGAATAGCCTTATGTTTATAATAGAACAGCCTTTAACAGGACATGGATCACAGAAAAGAAATGAACATACACTGAGTGCTTACTCTATGCAAGGCATTGTTTTAGATACCAAAGCTGTCTTCTTATTTAATCTCTGCAATAGCTGTGTGAAACAGACACTATTCCCAACTTGAGATTTTGACACTGAGGCTCAGAGCAATCCATAAAACAAATGACAAAGTGGGTAGCCCCAGTAATTGTCCCTGTTTTTTTCTCCCCTCTTCAGTATCATAAGCATCGGCACTTAATGAAGAATAAAAGGCATTAAAAGAATACAATAGTAAAAGAAATAAAGATTTCAATAAAGAATAAAAGGAAAAACAGCCACTCTCTTACCTCTCTGGATGGGCATGGAACTTCACCAGACTGCTATACAGCTGTCTCTCTGCTTATAAGGCCTCATTGAGCCGACTCCGTTCATCCACTAGTCCTTCTAGCATCAGCAGCAACTGGGGAAAGAAGAGAGAAGAAGCAACACGCAAATGGCACAGTGAGACATGAAGCCACAGTTAATCCTGAGAAACAAGAAAATGCATTAGCATGTACTAGGACTTAAAAAGCCCACTATCTTAGTACTTAAGCTTTTGATACCATTTTATAGTTTTCAAATCAATGTCATATTATTATTATTATTATTATTATTATCTTTAAAACCCTGTAAGGTGGAATTCAAACATGGGAGCAAAAAGAAGAAAAAGGAGAGAGAAGCTAGAAGCACAGGAAAGCAGCTAAGAGAAAGGAGTAAGAGGGAAACAGGACAGGCAAGAAGGATAAATGTAGTAAGATAGCACCCAACGAATTTCCTTCATTCATTCAATAAATACTCTTACTGAGCAGCTCTCTATTGGGACAGAGCTCTGTTCTAGGTCTAGGGAAAGCTTACTATCTAGTGGAGGAAAAAAGACATTCATTAATCATAGATGTGTGTCACTGTGCATGTAATAAGTGCTATAAAGATAATGAGCTATGATAATGTATAATCCAACAGAGTTGTTTAAGGTAGAGTAAAAGCCAGAATGGAGTGGGGTGAGTAGTTAGTGAGAGGGATGATAATGGAGACAGGGAGTACAGGCAAGTAAGTCTTTTGGAAAAGTTTGGCATTGAAGAATGTTAAAAGGCTGTAGCTACAAAGAAATCTGGGGAAAAGACAGGGGTTTCTCTCTCTCTTTTTTTTTTTTTTTTTTTTTAACTGGGAGAGACTTGAACATGGTTAAACGCAGATAAAAGAGAAAGATTCAGTTGAGAGGGAGGTGACTTATGTATGAGTGTGACGGATAACTATTGGTATGTGTCCAAAAGAACTGCTGCTCTTTTGAGAACTACAAATGTCAGAAAGGGGCATCTATAGCTGCTACTGACCAAAGTAGGAAACTTTAGAGCACAGTTCTCTATGAATACCATCAACTAACCCTCCACAAATAGCTGAGATTGACAGCTTTACCATGTTTTATTTCACAGTAGAAAAATAAGGCTTCAGCTGGGCATGGTGGTGTACACCTGCAGCTCCAGCTACTCAGAAGGCAGAGGCAGGAAGATTCCTTGAGGCCCAGAGTTTGAGGCTGCAGTGAGCAGTGATCATACCACTGCACTTGAGCCTGGGTGACACAGTGAGACCCTGTCTCAATGTGGTGACTCATGCCTGTAAGTAATTCCAGCACTTTGAGGAGCTGAGGAGGACGGATCACTTGTGGTCAGGAGTTTAAGACCAGCCTGACCAACATGGTGAAACTCTGTCTCTACTGAAAAAAAAAAAAAAAGTAAATAAATAAATAAGTTTACATTCCAATAACTTACCTGTTGTCTTCGGTTTCCTGAAATTTCTTGACCCTGGGATTCTACTGAAGCAACTTTTTCCCGAAGAAGTAAGACTTCCTGGGTCAGGCGTTCCATAGCTGGTATGTCTTCAGGATCAACCAGTTGCATTTGCAGGTCCTACAAGTCAAAAAGTAAGTGTGGATGTGAAAACAGCAATAAAAGGGTTATTCAGCAGAGGAGCAGGGGAACAAACATTCTTAAAATAGTCTGCCTATACTTTCAAGTGGGATATTGATAATCACTGGCCAAGGGATCCAATGTGTGCAAATATTGTCTGAAGATGCCCTACAGCTATTCTGAGCTGTGAACATTTCTAATGGTCTTTGAAAAGTTTTGAAAGACCTTTATGAGATCTTCTTTAATCTGTATGTTCCTGGTCAGAGACTCCATATCAGCAGCCTGCACCTGCAGCTCTTCTTCTTGCACAGCCATCATGGACTGTAGAGCAGAAAGTTCCATCTGTGAAAAGAGGAAACAGTATCTGCCATGTTTACATTTTAACACCGAGGCAAATGCTTTTGCATATCATATCACTATCAGCCAGTAATGCAAAAGAAAACGAGAACATGAATAGGGCTCTACAGCCTCAAATCAATAATCCATGCAGTATGGTACCAAAGGATGTTTTATGGGAAGATGTCATAGTTGTTCTTAATGACGTCTTCCACTTTAGCTGGCACTATAAAACACATCAAATTTGTTTACCAAGCTTATTATGATACTGAAAAAGAATGGCCACCATTAGCAGAAGCAAGAAGAGATGAAGTTTTTATGTATTTCACCCAACAGATGAAAAAATGACAGCATAAGGATATCTCCATTTTGCAACCCTTAATGAATGAATGGATAAGGCATGAAACAGCAACAGCTGCTACCATCACGAGAGATCACCAAACATTACATGCCTCCTGATGGAAGAACATGCCACCACCTAGGAAGAAATATTGCCAAAAGCTGGCACTACATGCCCTAAACTTTCAGTGTTCTCACCAGAAAATGACAAATACTTGGTTATGACAAAGTTCATTAAAAATCATAATAGGCCAGGCGTGGTGGCTCACGCCTGTAATCCCAGCACTTTGGGAGGCTGAGGTGGGCGGATCACAAGGTCAGGAGTTCGAGACCAGCCTGACCAACATGGTGAAACCCATGTCTACTAAAAATGCAAAAATTAGCCAGGCATGGTGGTGTGTGCCTGTAACCCCAGCTACTCAGGAGGCTGAGGCAGGAGAATCGCTTGAACCTGGGAGGCGGAGCTTGCAGTGAGCTGAGATCACGCCACTGTACTCTAGCCTGGCAACAGAGCGAGACTCTGCGTCAAAAAAAAAAAAAAAAAAAAATTCATGAAAACAACCATAGCTGCTAACACTATGCCCCGGGCTCTCTAATAAATGCTTATATTTAATCCTTTTAACAAACCTAGTGATCTGACTCCTGCCTACTTTTTCTACTTTAATATCTGCCATTTTACTCCTCACTCTTGACTCCGTAGGCACACTAGACTTTTTCTCTTCTAGGAACACCAGACTTTCTCTTGACTCGGCCTTTACAACTACTACTCCCTTTGCCTGAAGTATCTTTCCCAGGGCTGACTCCTGTTCATCCTCAGGTCCCAGCTTATGTGTCATCTGCTCAGAGAAGCCTTCTTTGGCCACCCTGTTTAAGATGGTCTCCATCCATGTTGCTTTCTATCATTTCCCTCATATCACTTACTATACTCTATAATTATAATGTTTATTTATTTATTGTCTGTATCTCCCCAGTAGAAATTAGCTACATAGAGCCAGAGACCTTACTGATTTAATTCACTATCTCATCCCAAGCACTAGCCCAAGCTTAGAGAAGGTCCCCATATAGCTAATGAATGAATGAGTGAACCCTCACAACAATCCTATGAGATAACTACTCTTTGATGTATACACAAGGTGACTACTTCTACTCTTCAATTTACAGACAAGGTGACTGAGTCTGAGAGAAATTAAGGAGCTTGTTCAAAAATCACAGGGCTGGCTAGTAAGTGATAAATCTAGAATGTGAACTCAGGGAAGCTGACTCACAGCCACTAGGTAATAATGTCTTTCCTGTAGATACCACATATCCATACAGTCTTTATGGTAAGGACAAGTTATTTTAAAGAAACCCTTTAAAGGAATTTAGCAATAGTTAAATATCACCCACTCAAAATACCCATTCATAGGCATTACAATTTCATGATCCTGAAAACAGGACAGAACCAAAAAGTAACATTACTTTGGATTTGATAAATGTGAGAAAAACAGGAAGAGGATGTGGAAACTAAAATATCTAACATGAATAATCAGAAAACAGCTAAGGTAGAACCACAAAGAGGAAGGGAGACTAGAGGATTTTTAAAACTGGTGTTTCTTAAACGCCACACATTCTCATATCCTGAAAACTAACTGAGTCATAGAACATGAGTCTGTTTGTAAGCAAAAATATGGTAATGAAATCAAAAGATAAAATACGATAATTCCATCACAAATACAAACACAGGTTTTATATTAGAGATCTAGCTATGGCAAAAGGTAGAAAAAAACTAAGGAGCTATTTGGACTAGCTAGCTCAACTGAATTCAGGAAGCCATGACACTGACTGATCTTCTAAAAGAGATGCCAACACAGTAACAAACAAGCTTTCAGTTTCAGTCTGTAACTCTGCGCTGTGGTCCTAGCATTTCTTCAACATCATAGTTGAGTATGCAGCTAGTGTGGAGGAAATGCAGGGGGAAGGGAATCTCTAAGGCTGAAAGGCCTCTTCTAAAAAAATTGATGAGAACTCTATGCTAGAGAGAGTTAAAGCATAAGGTGGGAAAAATGTGCTCTAGGAAATGAATCTTCTTAGGAAGTATGTGAAGTCACAAAAGGCTTGAATTTGAATCATAGCTCTGGCATTTATTAATTACATGATTATTCTCCACTCCCATTTTAAAAGAGAAATCAGTGTTTCAGCTTCTTTGTCTATAATAATTGGGTCGACACCACTTACTTTGTGTAGAGCTGTGAGCATTAGTGCTAATTTGAATACCTAGCACAGTACATTGCACATGAATACTTGATAAACTTTGATTATACTCAAATTTCTCGTTTCATGTTTCTAAAACTAATTTCATGGGTCTAGTGTCATAACTCTAAGCAGCAATCACACAACATTTCCTTTTTTCACTAGTGCTTTACAATTATTATTATTATTAGTGGTAGTAGTCGTATCTTGGAGGTGGAGTTTTGCTCTTGTTGCCCAGGCTGGAGTGTGATGGCACAATCTCAACTCACTGCAACCTCTGCCTCTCGGGTTCACGTGATTCTCCTGCCTCAGGCTCCCAAGTAGCTGGGATTACAGGTGCCCGCCACTACACCTGGCTAATTTTTGTATTTTTAGTAAAGACGGGGTTTCGTCATATTGGCCAGGCTGGTCTCGAACTCCTGACCTCAAGTGATCAGCCCACCTAGGCCTCCCAAAGTGCTGGGATTACAGGCATGAGCCACCACACCCAGCCTTTACAATTATTTTATTCCAGTTAGCAATGGGGAGAAAGGGTTATGTTTTTCCAGCACTTAATAAGTTTTAATGGTCCCAATCTAAAAATAGGAGCATCTTTTTGAGATAATGTATATATAAAATAACTTATATTTTTCTCCAAAAAGAAAAAAGTCATACCCGGCATTTGGACTCAGATATTATACTTGGAGAATTATATGCTTTTAAATATAAACTATTTTGAAAGAAAAAATAACAGGGATTTTGAAATTAAGACTTAACTAGAAAACCCACCTGACTTTCTCTTTCTTTTTTAGCCATGAGTTCAAGTTCCTCTTTGGCATTACTCAGTTCTTTTTCCAGCCCTGCAACTGTGTCCAAGTCTCCTGAAATAAAAATATAGTGCTAGTTTTAATTGCTATTAACATAATGTGGTATCTACTGCCTCCTTTGAGTAATTTACAGAGGACACATTCCAATAATAAGAAAAAAGAAAACATACACACAGGTTGGTCTTTGTAGCATTATTTGTAATAGTAAAATACTGCAATCATCCCTAGATGCTCTAAAGAAAAGGCTGAATAAACAACAGTATATTCACAAATCCAACATTCTTTTATTCTTTGATTAGTATAAAGTTTTCCTACTAGAGAATGACTACTTGTAAGACTTTTCTAAACCATCCCCTGAATGCGGCTAGGCTTGGCAAATAACTCAATGTACACTGCCTACCCTTCCTAACGGTTTAATGTAGGTGATGTCAACTTACACTGAGTGGCCCCAGACTTGAAAGATACCCAGGAAAACGTGTCAGCTCATGGCCCTGCTGGGCAGGATTGGAACCACTACCTCCTGCATTTCTGAATCCCTGCAAAGCTATCTGAAAAGGAGAATAAGGATAGAGTTTCTCTGGGCCAAATTGTGAACCTAGAGCAATAACCTCGACTCAACATAAGGTAAGGACAGTTCTTCAGCCTTTCAGAGGAATTCCAAACTTATTTGTTCCATTAAGGTAGGAAGAGAAAAGAGTCTTGGCCAAACCTATTAATACAGAGATTACTAGAAGGAAAAACAAGACAAAAACAGAGTCCCTTAATGAAATGAAATTTGATACTTACCTAATGTGGATCTGGGTATGCTGGCATCCTCTTTGGCAGTCAATGAAGTGCTACCATCTCTGGAAGGTATCTGCATTGAACCCTAAAATATTGCAAAAGTCGGGGGACTTAGGAAGATGCAGGAACTATGATCACAATGACAATACTGAGAATATTCTCAGAATTTGGTATTAAAATTATCAAACATACACCTCAAATGTAAAAAGGAAATGGAATCGGGATGAATTATCTAAGTCTATAGTTCTTACTTGATCAGTCTGTTCTCCAAGAGGGGGGCCAGTGGCGGTAACTTCAGCTTGTTGGTTAGAGATGGGTGCTTGGGATGTCAGGGAGTCTCTCCCTCCTAAATATTGGCGCAGGGCCTGTAATTCCGAATTTCTTTCCAATAAGGCTTGCACCATCTTGTCCGCAGCAGCCTAGTAAGAGGAAATCACAAATAACATTAGAAAGATATTCTAGTAAAACAAATTTTTTGTTCTGGTATTATTTCTTCAAAGTCAACCATTTGTAAAAAACAAACAAACAACAACAGAAAACAGTGGGTCCTTAGGAAATAGTTCCCCTGCTTTCAGTTTACAGGGAAAAACATAGTTAAGTGAATGGAAATAAAGTCTCATAGGCAGAATATTGGGAAAAAAACTGAATTTAACACATCTATAACAGATAAGAGAATCTGAAATAGGTTCTGCTAGAACTATCAGGCTAAGGTGTTAAGATTCTGGTTTGAATTAGTATAACAAATGTCTTTATTCTTGGATCAGCTGCTTCTTAGGGGAAGATTGCTCTTCAATCAAACATTTGTGTGGTTTGCTCCCTTCAGGTCTTGGCCAAATGTCACCTTATCAGGTTGGTCTTCCCTGCATATCCTATCCAAAACAGCAATCTTGCTGGCCAAAGGGTACAAGCTTTCAGGTATAAGATGAATATGTTTTGGGGATCCAATGTATAGCATGGTGACTTTAGTTAATAATACTGTATTATTTCCTTGAAATTTGCTAAGAGAGTAGATCTTAAGTGTCTTCACCATACACGCATAAAATGTGTAGTGACGGCTGTGTTAATTTGATTGTGGCAATCATTTCACAATGTATATGTATATCAACACGTCATGTTGTACACCTTGAATATATACAATATTTGTCAATTATACCTCAATAAAGCTGGGAATTTTTTTTTTTAAACCCAGCAATCTCTTCTCTATCTCCAACACTCCTTACTGTGCTTAATTTTTTTCAATGCACTTACCATTATCTAATCTCTCTCTCTCTGCTTCCCCTACATGGAATGTGAAGTTTCCTAAAGGCAACTTGGTGCTGAATCTCAAGCACCCAGTACAGTGTCTGGGACATAATAGACACTCACTACATACTTACTGAATGAATCAATTACACACATAAACATTTTTATCAGACCACATGATTAGGAGAATCTCAACCTCAAAATCACCAAACTCAGCTTGTTTCATTTCAAATCTCAGTTTTCTAAGACAGATGATGACACAATAAGGGAAAGAGCTAGAACAGTTTTAACTATTAATGCACAGAAAGTCTACATTTAAACAGAAAATCTGGAAATCATAAATTGATATTAAAATTACTGAGGGTATAAGATGATGAATCGTAACACCAACTGTCTCTGAGGAAAAGTACTACTGTTTTAAGGGAGAAGCTGACCTCTTGTCACAATTTCTAAGGGAAATATGAAAAAAAAAAACCTTCAGTTTTTCAGTAAGTAAAATGTGGGCTCTTTGGAGATTTGAATATAACCATTTTAGAAGTATCAGTATATTATTAAAGTACCTTAATAAAAATATCTGTGAAAACTGTGGGAAAAAAACGTAATAAATAACATACAAGACATATACTGTGCTCTATCTGCCTTGGCGCTCTTTTTCTGGTAGGATTTAAGAGTTTTTAGCAGTGTTCCTCCAGTGCAGTCCATGAACCTGCAGCATCACTATCACCTGGAAAATTGTTAGAAATGCAAATTCTTAAAGTCCCATCTATACGTCCTAATTTCTTTCTCTGGAGTTGAGCTCCACAATCTACATCTTTAAAAAGCTATTCAGGTGATTTCTTTTGCATGTAAATTTAGAGAAGCAGATGTAGAAGAATACAACCATTAATCTTCTTGGGTTGAAAAATCTCCTGTAATTTCCATCATCTCCATTATTCTATTACCAGCAGTGCATAATTTTTTTTTCTGAGGTATAATAAAGACTAATTCTTCCAAATCACAAAGAGGTTAAAAAGAAAACTCAAAGATCCTAGCCTCTTGCCAAAGACTTAAATAATTTAGAATAATGTTGTTAGGTCTATTTTAGAAACAATTTCTGAAGCACACAGCAGGACCTTTCTAGTAAGATGTGTGTTTACTTCAGTAGGCCTAGCAATTAGAACAGTGGTGTATAATCCTTTCACAATATGAGGAAATGTAAGAAAATATTATGGGGTCAAATAACATAGGCCAAAAAAAGTCTATCTTCCTCTAAAAACTGTCCAGGGGGATTCAGAGCTACTGGTATCTGAAATGCAGCATAAGTCAACTAAGAGTCTTTAGCCTTGAGAAGAAAACACATAGAAATGAGGAAAAATTAAGAATTTACTTATGGGCAGGGCATGGTGGCTCACGCCTGTAATCCCAGCACTTTGAGAGGCCGAGATGGGTGGATCACTTGAGGCCAGGAATGATCCAACATTTCAGCCTGGCCAACATGGTGAAACCCATTCTCTACTAAAAATACAAAACTTAGCAGGCATGGTGGTACATGCCTGTAATCCCAGCTACCTGGGAGGCTGAGGCAGGAGAATTGCTTGAACCCAGGAGGCAGAGGTTGCAGTGAGCCGAGATCGCGCCACTGCACTCCAGCTGGGTGACAGAGGGAGATGCCATCAAAAAAAAAAAAAAAAGAATTTACTTCTTAAATATTGTGGAATTAATACACCCCATACTATTATGAGATTGTTTATTCTCACCATGACCTCTGAAAAACGCAATCTTTTTTCCCTCTTAAGATAACTCAGATTTTACAAAAACTAAGAGTAAACATGTTGAGTGTAAGTTTTCCCATACCTTGACTGGAAATGCAAAATATCACTCAAGTCTTAATAATTTAGAATCAAAATCAAAACACTCACAACCCCTACGCCTTTCTCTCAAAATAATCAGATTATTAAGGAAAAGAAAATGTATGTAATGAAGTTAATGGATACATGTATTGTTTAGGCACCCTTCCAAATTCAAGGTTTTTAAGAAATTTTTCATACTTTGATGATTAATGTAAAACTGTGGTCTCAGGCCAGGTACAGCAGCTCACACCTACAATGCCAGCAGTTTGGGAAGCCAAGACAGGATGATTGCTTGAGCCCAGGAGTTCGAGACCAGCCTGTACAACACAGCGAGACTCCCACCTCTAAATAAGTAAGTAAATAAATAAAACTGTGGTCTAGGTAATAAATAGAAGGAAAGAAACTAACAGAGTTGACTGTAAAATATATAAATATACACACATCTATAGTCTGCAAATGCTTCCTATTTACAGACTATAAATGCACTACATGATACTTTTCTGATCTGTGCATTAATCCTTACTTGGCTTTCCTGCTCCCTGGTGCTCATAGACTGAAGCAGGCCTTGAATCTCCATTTCATGTTCCACCACTAGTTTGTTTCGATCACTTAGAAGGTCCTGCAGCATCCTTTCCTTTCGCTGTAGACGCTGGCACAGCTCCTCTGCTATCTCACTCTGCCCTGGTCCAAGTTTGCACAGCAATGTTGCACTAAGATCCTAATGCAGAAAGGACACTGTAAGTTTCTGGAGGAAAGAACTGCCTCTACTAAATATTAAAGGGCTTATAAGAATCTATCATAGAAGAAGGAGGTGTGAGATTCTTGAGAGTAAGTATCACGTTTTACTCATTTTTGTTTTACCAGATCTAGCACAGGCCAGGAACACAGAAGTCTCTAAATACATGTCCCAGGAATGAATACAAACAATACAGAAAACTATCTCTGGTGGCCACTTACATACATATTGTTTTCTGAAATAAGTCTTTTTCCTATTCGTTCAGGACATGTAACAATTAATGTTAGATGAGGATAAATGGACACTCAGTTCATTTATTTGTTTTCTCCCAGTGTAACTATAGGGGGAAGCATAAAACAAATTGCTGAAAGGAATACTAAACACTGTATTTGCTATCATAGTGATGGTTTCTATTTCTGTACTAACCGCCGGCACATGGTGGAGGAAACGGAGGCGCCATACTGCCTAGGTTGATACTAGATCTGCTACTTATTAGCTATGTTAGCTTGGACAAGTTACTTAGCTTCAGAAGTCTGTTTCCTCCTCTACAAAACGGGGATAATAGAATGTGCCTCATGGCCTTGTGAGGATTCAATGAGTGAATATCCATTGACATCTGAAAACAGCACCTGCCCCAGCATGAACACCGTAACTAATAAAGGTTAATAGCTGCCAGACGGAAGAGGCAATGTTTGGTCTCATTCATTCTCACATAACTTCTTTGAGAAAGTTAATTGCCAACTTAAGTTTCTAGAGATGGGAAAAAAAAAAATCCCAGTGAAAGTCAATGACCTGCCCAGGCACAGAATGAAATTAAAGACTTGGGTCACAGGCCTCCCGATCTGAAGAGTCCTAATCCAAGGCTGAGATTACATAATCACTGAACCAACTGCCTTTAAGTTAACTGAAGTCTTGCCTCCACTTCTTTGTTCCTATCATGCAGAGATGTCTGTAACTGCTGAATGATACTCTCTTGTTCCTTCTGCCAATGGCTAAATTTGGTTTCAATTTCTTCTTTCAGCCACCGGAGGTTTTGACAGGTAGTAGATAACTGTTCCACTTCCAGGCCTTTGGCCCTCAGGAGACTCTCCATACTCTACAGCCATAAAGAGAGCAATCATCAGTCAAAACGATTACCCCATACTCCTCAGGATAAACAACAAATTACATCCACTTTTAAATAATCTCCCATCAATTTATTTTTATTTGCAAGATGAGAGCATTGATCTAAACAATGCCAAGCTAATCTGTTTTTTTTTTTTTTTTTTTGGGTTTTCAGAAACTTTTATCTAGTTTGTGGAGAGATTAAATATAGAATATATGATAAAAGGAAGCATTTTGGAGGAAGTGCACGACACTATAAAGGATTTCTCAAAAAAGTGGCAGGTAGATACCTAAGCTCTAAAATAAATATGCAAAAAAGCCCACAGTAAATATTGATAAACAAGTGTTCTAATTATGGCAATTCATGGACATGTAGATAATATTAAGGTAGAAGACACAATTTAATAGTTGCACCCTGATAATGCTTCAGTAAAAGTAAGACAGAGAGAGAGGGCAGTGTGTGTGCATATGTATTTATGTATGAACAAGAACTGGAAATAAATCAGAACTACGTAAACAGAAATCAATATTCACTGGCTCTCCTCACAAAATTCATATTACAAACGAAAGTAGAAGTGCTAAAATCTCTCACTTCCTAATCGACAATGATGGAACTAGTGACTGCTATTTTTGGTTTTCTCCCCCCTTATAAAGCAAAATCCCTGGTTTTCAGAAAATGATGGAGGGGGGTCATGCTTCAGGCTTATATAAGTGGGAGAGGAACACCAAGTCAGAGATAGGTTTTGCTCTCACTTGCATAGTAGTTTCATTGGAGGAGAGGACACCTCTCAGTCTCTCTAAGTCATGATCTCGCTCTCTCACAGCAAGACGAAGCTGGCGCAGTTCTTTTTCTTTCTCTTCTAGAGCAGAGAATTTTTCATCTATAGCCCGCTGCAAGGAAAGGAAGACTCCTAAAGCTCTGTAAGATTTACTATCCTGATCACTCTTATTCCACAAGATGGCAGACTAGAAAACCAAATCCCAGAGTAGCAAATGTAAGTAAACACAAATTTCTATAATACCTATGTAGATAGAATAATCCATCGCATAGTGGGCAAAATGGTGATACATACCTCCAGAGCAACAGCTTTATCATGTATGCGCTGGCGAAGTTTCTCAAGCAACATTTCATTTGCTTCAAGGGTTTTGTCTGAGTTATCTCGATATTGTAGGAGCTCCCGAAATTCCTGAGACCAAAAAATCGTTTCTTTTATTCTTTTATCCAATATTAACTAAACTACCAAGTAATTTGTTATTCAGGATAAAAAAAAAACAAGATGTGATCACTCTCCTCAAAAGTAACAAGTTTAGCACAGATAACAGACATATAAATTGTAAACTATTCTGCAACATACAACAGACACAACACATAGAATTAACTGTTCTGCATCCTATGCTAGCTACCAGGGGAACACAGGATGCACTGCCTCACTCTGCCTGCAGGTGTCAGTAAAGACCTCACAGAGGAGGTAACATTTGCGGTGAGTCTTAATTAAAGGACTAGGATTTCCTAAGTGAAGAAGGGAGAGGACTGTATGCTAGAGAAAAAAAATATGCACACTACGCATACAATGAAAAAATTGTACATTCACTGAAATGTAGTGGATTCAATGTGACTGAAGCTTAGAGTAGGTGGCAGAACAGATCAGTCTCTTCTTAATGCTCCATTTTCCCCTCAAACTTTCATTCCATCATCAAAATGACTCTGGAAGTTTCTGTAGTTTGTCTTCATCTATTAAACTGAGAGCAGTAGCCAAATCTTTTGTCCTCCCAACGCCCAGAAAAGTGTGTGACTCACAGAGGTGCTTAATAACTATTTTCTGAATATTGTCTTTATAATAAAGACTTCATAAAAGACTGCTTAAATCAGGGCTATATGTACTGTTTCTTACACTTGTTAGTAAGCATCTTAATTCACAAATTATACTTTCTATTTATTTTAAATCCTCTTGATTCCCACCTCTCAATGTTTTCCTTATAGCAGGGACTCAACACAGGTGGAATAATATCTTAAATTTATATAAACAAATTTCAGAGTTCTATGAGCCCAGTTTTCATTGAAATCATGTAAACTCACCTGAAGCAATTGCTCCTTGTGACTCAGACTATGGTTTAGGTGCTGGATGTTTTGTTCCTGGGTTCGAATCTCATTGTATTTTTCAGCCTCCTGGGCACGAAGCTGTTGGCTCTTGTTCTGCAATTCTTCTTGCAGCTGCTGCAAGGCTTTCCGCAATTCCTGAATTAAACATATTAAGAGATCTAAAATTGTCACATGGTTATATACAGAGGCCTTAAAATTTTCAAGGTATATAAACTGAAAGAGCAGTAGAGGATGCCATTATTAAAACTGCTATAGAAGTATTATACATGAATTGAATGGGATATGGAAAATTGTAAAAGTTGTGAATGGGTAGGACGTAAGCTTGATAATTAGAGTTCAATACTTATTTTTTGGCTTAAAAAGGATACATGTGTAGAACCATTAAATGAGAATCTGTCCTATGGTAAACCTGGATTATTTACAGTAAGCTCAAGGATAAACTATTCCTATCATCCTTTTTTCTAAAGATCTCATAGAGACCATCACTCTTCTTTCTTAGCTTGCCATATTTATCTTTCTGATAAGAAAGTCAGTAATCTTTAAATCATCTGTTACTTTAGAGAGCTCCCAAAATACATATTCTCATCAACCAAACAAATCTTGGGAAAATGTTTCCTTTAGCTAAATAACAAAAAGTTAAGAATTATTTCTACCCCCATCCTCCACCACTCCCCGACCCTGCCCAGACATCTGAAATTTTAATTTTTTTTTTTGAAATGGAGTCTCACTCTGTCGCCCATGCTGAAGTACAGTGGTACAATCTCGGCTCACTGCAACCTCCGGCTTCCAGATTCAAGCATTTCTCTGCCTCAGTCTCCCGAGTAGCTGGGATTACAGATGCCCGCCACCACGCCTGGCTAATTTTTGTAATTTTACTAGAGATGGGGTTTCACCATCTTGGTCAGGCTGGTCTTGAACTCCTGACCTCATGATCCACTGGCCTCGGCCTCCCAAAGTACTGGGATTACAGGTGTGAGCCACTGTGCCCGGCCGAAATTTTAATATTTCAAAAGGAAATTCAGGGCTAATATTTAATCTCCAAACCACTAAACCAGGGAGATCCTTCAAAAATTACACGTTTAAACCTGAGTGTTAAAGAGCTTAAGAAAAGAGACCACCAAAAAAAAAAATCTTTTAAATATTAAACATATACGCTCTAAGCTAACAAGATAAAGGAACCATTTAAGAATTGTGCATTTTGGCCCAGCGTGGTGGCTCATGCCTGTAATCTCAGCACTTTGGGAGGCCAAGGTGGGCAGATCACCTGAGGTTGGGAGTTTGAGACCAGCCTGACCAACATGGAGAAACCCTGTCTCTATTAAAAATATAAAATTAGCCAGGCAGGGTGGTGCATACCTGTAATCCCAGCTACTGGGAGGCTGAGGCAGGAGAATCGCTTGAACCCGGGAGGTGGAGGTTGTGGTGAGCCAAGATTGCACCATTGCACTCCAG